ACAGTACACCCCTCATGTACAGGTTTTATGGTGTTTTCAAAAGTTACAGAGTCAAATATAAGGCTTGTGTTTCATTTTTCACATTAAAATTCGCCAGATTGGTTACGTTTGCAATACCTTGGGTTGTCTACTATTGCAAATGGTATGCCATTATGGGTGTAAATTTCATTCCTGGGCTACTATACAGTCTCAAAGGCAACGTAACCAATCTGGCAAATTTCAATTTCAAATGTAACGTGCTATATTTGACCATGTAACTTCCCAAAACACCATAAAACCTGTACATAGGGGGTACTGTTTTACACATGAGACTTTGCTGAATACAAATATGTTTATTTTATTGCAGTAAAAGCAAACAGTATTATGACATTGACAGTTAAAATGTCATGTAGAACTAAAAAAATTTCTTATTTTCTCCCATTTTTTCATATTAAATTATGTTTCATAGCTAAATATTTGATATTAAAGCCCTGTTTCCCCTGAATAAAATGATATATAATAAGGGTGGGTGCATTTAATATACCAGGTTTTGTTTAAGTTTTGTTTTGTTCACAATGTGTACATTTGGCTCAGTCCTTAAGGGGTTAAACAGAAGAAGAACCATAAGGAAAAAGTTTACAATGAGCTGGGGGTAGAGAGTGAAGTAACTCACAGAAGGAAAGTATAGAGTTAAAGGAAGTAAAAGGGTATGAGGTTAGAGAAGTAGAGTGGTCAAGTGTGCTGAGAGGGTAGTGCAGAGAGGGTAAGGGGTTTGCAGCCTCTTTGTATCAATGTTATATAAGTATATATAAACATAATTTTTTTGTGTATATGTGTGGTCGAGCCAAAGCTCTCCTTCATATTTCACATTTCTATGGGGGCTCAAATCTGTAGTAGCGGCACCACGGCTTCCATATTTGAGAGGTAGCGAGTTTTTGTCTTGATGACACTGCAGAGGGCATTTCATATATAGAATTCAACCGTATCCTGTCCATAAGACATGTCTCAGTAGGGCATATAGTTGATTTTCAGTTAACAGCGATAAGGGGTCTAGCTGACAATATCACCTGCAAAACCAGCGCTTTCTCATGAAACGACAAATGGGTAGGAAGGTCCAACCACAGACATGCCTCAAACTTAGATAGAACTTAGCAGTTTGGTAACCATCAGCCACAGTGGTTGTATAAGTTCACATCCCAACCATATGTGGAGCATTGTGCCCTTCTGTGTGAGGCATCTCCAACATCTATCTGAGGTGGCAATGGTATATTTTATTTAGCCTGTCTGGGGTCAGGTACCACCGGTACATACATTTTTTGTGGGCCTCAATGTGGGATAAACATGCGGTTTGTCCTGCTAAAGCATTTACCTGATTCTGAGTGGTTGGATATTGCGTTGTAACACAGCAATAGTAACTTAGGTCTAAGGGGATTTTTCTAACAAGCAGATAAAAGTCATTGTTTTTCTCCCTGACCTCCCTAATCATCTTCCGTAGCTATGTCCATATGGTCAAGTAATACACTCTTATTTTGTATGTATTGAAACACATACCCTGGCGGTAGGTTGTATGCCTGTTGTAGATCTGCAAAGGGTGTAACCTTATCACCCACCAGAAACTGGGAGATTCTGGTAATACCAACTCGTTCCCATAAGGCCAGTGGGAGCCATGGTAGGACTGTGGACAGGGCCCTCAATGGAGTCAGTTCATGGAATTCAAGAGGGTTCTGATGCATAGACCGTATCTTGTCCCATGCCAGAATGGTCATTTTCGTAGTGTTAAAAAAGATATGTGATTTCACCATTTTGGAGGGGGACCACATATATGCTAGGAGTGAGTTATTTGGCAATAGTGCATGTTCCATATCTACCCACAGTAATTGCTCTCTAAATGCGTGAAGATTCACTGCTTGCTCCAGTATGGCTCACAGTCTATAGCTTGCAACATGAAGTTCACCCATTCCCCCCACTTTTAATGGTCTGTGAAGGGTGTTTTTGGCTATCCATGCTCTCTCTTTTTCAAATAAAGTTGGCAAATATGGACTGAACTTTAATACAATAAGCAGACGGGATGTCAATAGGTAACGTATAGTATAGGTAAACTAATTTTGGTAAGATCATCATTTTCATAGCATTTATCCGCTCGGCCTATGGGATCATTGTATCTTTTCATGAGTCTAGCTCCCTGTGGATCACCTCTAAGAGGGGCACGTGATTTAGCTTATACAAGGAGTGTATAGTTTTCGAGACTCCCTCTCCCAAATAGGCTACCGACTCTGTATTCCAGTCAGTTGAAAGCCCTTTTTAAACTTGGTATCAAGTTTGAAATGGAACAGAAGAATTTCAATATGGGCATGAGGTTGGGAAGGGAGATGTTCAGTTGAGTAAGCGTTAAGAGTACATCATCACTGAATAATGGTAGTTTATGGTGATGCTCATTTATAGTGACTCCGTGGATATTTGGATTTTGTCTTATTGTGTGTACTAGGGGCTTTAAGCAGACAATAAAGAGTAGGGGAGACAGGGGGCATCCCTGTCTCATTCCATTTGTGATTTGAAAGGGTGGAGATATAGACCCTGTAATGCTAATGCTAGCTTCTGGGGAGGTGTATGAAACCATGATCGCTGTGATAAACATAGAGGGGAAGACACATTTCTCCAGGACAGATTTCATATAAAGCCAATTAAATCTGTCAAAGGCTTATTCTGCGTCCAAAGCCAGCAGCAAGCCTTCCACATTACTGGTATTTAAATAGTCTAGGAAAAGCATGTCAAACTCAAAGGCTGGCATGGGTCAAATAAACAAGTTTTAAGTTTATGTGGGCTGCAAAAAAACTAAAACTTAAATTTTCATAGAAACTTTCACAGCATCCCCCTCTATTAAACCCCATGCACTCCCCTCTATAAATACCAGTCCCCACTCTACTAAATCCCAGTACTAGCTGCATCCATCGCAACACTGACCGACAGACACACACTCACTGACAGACACACACACTGACGGACACACATTCACTGACACATACACACACACACTCACTGACAGATACACACTCAGACAGACACACACACACATTCTTGCATACACTCACAAATCATTTTATTTATTGTTGATTGCTCCCTACCTTTGTGAGCTGGAGTTAGGCCTCTACCTGGGGTCCAGTGGGGATCTTCTCTCTAGAGGACTCTCTTCCTGCTCCTTCGCGTGCAGAGGTTAGTGATACCGGGCCGGAATGACATCATATTCCGATGCCCGGCATCACTACAGAGGGCACTGGCGAGAAGTGAGGAGCACGAAGAACAGACTGTGCTCCCTCGCTGCTGCCAGCTGCAATGTGGGGAGAGCAGGTGCCTACTGGTGCCCCAGTTGTACCTTTTTGTTTTTTTAGAAAATAATATAATAATAGTAAAAATATGACAAAAAATAAAATAGAAAAAAATAAATATATGGCAACACCAAACGGTAAAAGCAAAATAACACTTTATTTCTAGAAAAGCAAAAATTTCTGGGGAAATTGTGTGAAGTGTTCTTGCCTCCACCAGTAGTCTACAACTGGAGTGGGCGGAGTAACTGGGTGGAGTGGCTTGAGTAACTGTTGTGTGGTTGGAGTGCTGTTTGATGATAATCAGTGTTCACAACTAGTGATGTCCCGAACGGTTCGCCGCGGACGGTGAACATATGCGGTAAACTTTGACCCTGTACCTCACAGTCAGCAGACACATTCCAGCCAATCAGCAGCAGACCCTCCCTCCCAGAGCCTCCCACCTCCTGGACAGCTCACTAAGAATGCAGCTTCACAATGAATGTAAAATGGATGCTGTCCAGGAGGTGGGAGGGTCTGGCAGGGAGGGTCTGCTGCTGATTGGCTGAAATGTGTCTGCGGACTGTGAGGTACAGGGTCAAAGTTTACCGCATATGTTCACCGTCCGCGGCGAACTGTTCGGCGAACCGTTCGGGACATCACTATTCACAACCACTGTTTCCTGGTAACGCTCATGCCCCGTTTATGCGGGCTCTAAGCGTGTTGACGTCCTCGTGAAAACTATCAGGACTATGGCTGAGCCGTGGACATTTTTAGTGGCAGCAGGGATAGCTGGACGTTATGATATAAGATTTGTGTAGGTGGGCTTGAAAGTGAGGGAGTGGTGGCAGTTTAGAAATCATGTCCTGATTTTTCAGCTCCCACTCTAGCTTTTGTCAGCTCCCACTCTAGTTTTGAACATTCCGCCGTTCATTCCTATGGGACCAATTTCGCCACAAAAATGACGATATTTCTTGAACCATTCGGCGAAACGTTCCACAAAGTAATAGCACACCAATCAGGAACAATCCGCACGTTTCGGTATATTACTGTCTATGTAGTGTTAAAACTGTGGGAGGAGTTAGGGTGCTAAATTTGGCTATAATAATAAGAATAATATATATGTGAGATAATAGTAAGTGGTCTTGCCATGCAAGAACACTTAACTATAAAATAAATTTAAAAAAAATAAAACAAAAGTAACCATCCACAATGCATTTATCCTTACAAAAAAGCTTTATCAAGTGGAATGATAATAATACCTGGCATAACGCAGCAGAAATTTCGTCTATAACGTCATGGGGGATTGTCAGAGAAAATACAAAAGATAGACAGCACTAGGGACAGTGTAAATAGGAAGTATAAGGTGGTCTCTAGGTAATTTGTTGCTTAATTTTGAAATAAATACTTAGTGAATAAACCCCTAAACAGTTGGATAACACATTTAAAAAATATAAAAATTAGCAAAACGACTAAACTGGAGAAAATTGAAAATACAGAAAATGTGGCCTATATTCTGTATTTTTAATTCTATACAATTCAGTGCTTAGTGACCAAAACCCTGAGTGAACATGTTCATTAGTCCTTACCAGCCATTACCTGCCATGAGAAATGCAGACAGACTGGTTCTGTAAATAAGGAAACCATTCGTTTTCCACATCACAACTAGAAATACAGCTCTGGCCTGATTTCTATGGAAGGGTCAGTCAGCCTGTGCTATCAGCCAGCTCTCAGCACATGATCCTCTGAATAAGGAGCCATGGGGAGGAGGGAGGATCAGTCCTGACAGTGACTGCACACACAGAGGAGGGGCCATCTCAGACACGTCAGGACTAAGAGACCCTGAGAAAGTGAAAGGAAGCGGACACACACAGCAACAGGACCAGGACACTAGCCACAGGGAGCACGGGAGGCCACACTGTCTGTGCCAAGAGTGCCAGCCTGCTCACTGCCAGCACTCATGTCCCACTCACTGGCAGCCTTCACTGTGAGTACCACTTTAAATCCCACTTTGTTTAAATCCCCCTGGTCTGGTATCTGCTTTGGTAAAAGTGCCCCATGATGTGACCCAGTGATGATGGCATGCAATTGGCATTGTACACTCAGACTGTAAATACCACGCAGGGGTAGTTTTGTATTCATGGTTGCCATCCCCAGCATATCGGGTCTCTTTCTCTCTGTGTGTGATTTTTGGGGATTCGGTGTTTTATGGATGCCCAGTGGCACTGTTTGCAGTGAGATGTGATTTAGGTCTTACAGGTGCTAGGGACACTGTCCTACCTCTGAGCCAACTCTGCTGTGATTTTGCTCCCTTTTGTAGTCTTTTGAATGAGTGCATTATTATTTATGCATGCTTACTGCAATCAAGAAAACGGAGGAAGTAGTTTTATACCTGTACTAACATGAGAAATACCTTTTTTTTCTTTTTTTTTTTCTTTTTTCTTTTTTTTAAGTACAACAGACATTTGGTCATTCCATAAGTTAGTGTTGCCTTTATTGTTACCTATTGAAATGGTCCAGTTGGAATTTTGCAGCATAATTATAAAAATTAAAAATTCTAACCTAATGCTTACCGCCAGTGCCCTATTGTTTTATTAAAGTAAAGATGTTTCAGGAAGGAACTTTGGTTGTATGTTTATCATTATATGCTAGTAATGACTCAGTGTTGTATCATTTTTGGGAAATAGAAAACTTTTTTTAGTATTTTAGTATCCTGGTTTACTATTCAGTCTATAGGTCTTATCTACTGTATTACTACTCCCATTAAGCTTTATGTCAAAGTATGAAATTATGTGTTTCTAACCATTATAGTTTTGAACACATTGAAGGTTTTTTTTTAATGCATGCAATAGTTTAATAATTGTACATATTTATGACTCTGTTTAATATTTACACACATTATCTTGCTGTGTTCAACATATAGGCACATTATTTAAAGGAACACTCCCAACCCATAACAACTTTATCTCAATGTAGTTGTTAGGAGGACAGGAGTGCCTGTGTGCTAGTTTTCCTTCGGGGTTTAAACGGTTTCGGATTGTTTAATCCTGAGGTTAGTTCACCAGCACCCATCAGTGCTGCCTTTCTCACTTGTAAGCTTTGATCAGCCTCTAGGCAAACTTCCTCGTTTTAGACTTTCAGTAATTAAAACACGTTTAGTGTTGCAATGCTTAAAGTTTCTCTATAAAAAGCATTTGATTGGCAGAGCTTGGTGATACTCGTCAGTCTTCCCTGTTCTGGGTTGTTTACTGTTTTTTTTGTTTTGTTGTTTTTTTAGGAAGGGGACATGTATTCCAAGTAATGAACACATATATTTAAAGAAACACTATAGGGTTAGGAACACAAACATGTATTCCTGATCCTATAGTGTTAAAACCATCTAGCCCACCTGGCCCCCAGCCCTTCCTAAATATAGTAAAATCTTCTTTTTAGTCAAGATTGCTGCTGCTGGCTCTCCTCCTGATCTGCCTGCTTGGCTAACATCATCAGAAGTGATTATTTGAGCCAATCACAATGCTTCCCCATAGGATTGGCTGAGACTGTCAAGGAGGCAGATCAGGGGCAGAGCCAGCACAAGTCAAACACAGCCCCGGCCTATCAACATCTCCTCATAGAGATGTATTAAATCAATGCATCTCTATGAGTAAAGTTCAGTGTTCCCATGCAGAACACTTCCCCAGGAGGCACCTCTAGCAGCCATCTGAGGAGTGGTCAGTGAAGTTGTCCCTAGGCTGTAATTTAAACACCGCATTTTTTCTGAAAATACAAATGTTTACTGCAAGAAGCCTGAAGGGAATGATTATATTCACCAGAACAAATACAATATGCTGTAATTGTTCTGGTGGCTATAGTGTTCCTTTTAATAAGACACTACAAGCACCATAACTCCCAATGTTCCTAGTTTAGATTATTTTGCAAGGAAATCTGCTATTTATTTGCAATCGGCTCTTATCATTTGCAGAAATCCGTGCAACTGTAAGTTCCCCCCTTATGTTCGAGCAATGCTTGCCAAGCACGGTTTACCATGTAATTTCACACACTCGTGTACACAGTCTTGACTAATTACATAAAAAAAATAAAAAAAAGACATGGCAATTTCTTTTTAGCAATTACCTTGCGCAGAAAACATTAATGAAGTATACTGCAGTGGGGCCAAAAAAACTGACAGTCGAATGTGAAATCATGGACTATCTAAAAACGATATGAAAACCCATAGGGACACAACAATTGCCATATATTTCTCAGCCTTTTCCTGGTCCAGAGCATTTGCTATAAACGCAATACCTGCACAAATATTTATGCTCTGTTTCTATATTCACTGAATGGCAACTGGAAGTTTTGGATTTACTTTCAGAGATTTGCAGTGTAAAGGGTTGGAACTCTTTGAGAACATATGAATGAATAGCTGAGACTTGGCTATTGGGGTGGAAATGCCTTTAGTAACGGTCAGGAAGACAGCCACTAAAGGCATGTTAACCATGCAACTGTAAACTTTGATGTTCCTGCAAAGTGTCAGCGTATTCATTTGGAGAGTTAAAAAGATGGGGGCATGCCACCCAGACCATTTCATTGGGATGAAGTGGTCTGGGTGCGTGCCTATAAAGTCCCTTTTATTGCATACAGCTTTTGTTACACATGTCAGCAGCTTGATATCAATAAGACTATGCAGATTGATTGTTGGAGTTGTGCAGCCTCTAGGAAAGTCTTGTCCTCTTGCATGTATACGAAGGCTGTGCAGCTTCTTATAATTTGACAAGTCTTACAGGTTTTTTTTTTTCCGTTTTTTTTTTCTCTTGTTATAAAATTTAGATCTGAACTGTTAAAAAGCACAGGCTCTCTCTCAGTCTGAGGAAGTCAACTGTGATTAGAAAGTATAAACAGTCATCATTTATGGCTCCTTCTATGTAATGCAATACTCACACTGCTACAGTCTTTTGGCACTGGTGCTTTCCGTGACTGTATCGGAGAGATTTATCAAAATGTGATTTCAAAAGGGGTAGACCTGTCTCATAGTTGGACAATCTAATCTGGACTTTGGAATCCAATAGAAGCCACCAGAACATTTAGTTTATTGCTCTCTGCTTTTACCATTTTACATCTATTTCTTATTTGGGATAATGGTAAATCTACTCTTGGTTTTCAAATTTACTTGGTTCTGATTATTGAAAGCATAGTAGATTGCTACAGATATTTGATAATTTGACATTCTAGTGCAATTAAAGGAAATGTTATAATATTCCTTTAAATACATTTAAACAAAGCACGTTTTTTTTGTGTGTACTCTTTCATGTTTATCACTAAGTAAAACCCCAGCATGCAGCGTTTAGGATAGCAATGAACGTAATAAAGGAAATTAAACGTATTAGCAGGCCTTAGGATAGCTGGACTTAACATTAGACCGAGAGAAAAGCAAGCCGAGGTCAGGATAACGGAGAGCAAAAACAAGAACTAGCCAGAATCGGGTACACGGTAATCTGTCAAACAAGCAAACACAGGAAAGGGTTAAACATATATACAGGATCAGTAACAAGGCCAAGTTCAATACCAAGGAATCAAGAAATGCACTAAAGAGTACTGGGGACAGAAACCACAATAGGGCACAGAAGATAAAAAAAAAATTTAATGTGCACCTCCCAACCCCCATTTTACACACATTACATACCTACACAAACACACACTGCATTCACTGTACACACACTGCATTCACTGTACACAGTACACAAACACACACTACATTCACTGTACACACACTACACAAACACACACTGCATTCACTGTACCTACACTAAACAAACACACACTGCATTCACTGTACCTACACTAAACAAACACACACACTAAATGCATGACACAAACACACACTCCACATTCACTACATCTAATATACACAAACAGCCTTCAATATACACACATTACATCCACTACACACTCTGCATTCACTATATACACCACATCTAATACACACTCTGCATTTACTACACACACTGCATCTAATAGACACAAACACAACATCCACTAAACAAACACACACACACTCTGCATTCACTATACACACACTCTACATCCAGTACACAAATACACACACCACATCCCCTTCACATACGCACTCTGTATCCACTACACACACCACTATCTGTATACACACTGCATCTCTGGGGGCGGACTCAGTGGTGGACTCGGGGGCGACCCTGTGGGTGGACTAAAAGTATATTTTTCATTTTAAATTCAAATTTTTAAATATTTTAATCTTAAAGTGGACTTGAGCTTTTTTTGTTTTTCAGTGTTGAGCAACAATTGAACTGATCCCAGAGAGAAACAGTCTCCATTCCTTAGAGCAGTGTGATTATTATTAAAATCGTTTAATAGCCAGTTAGCACATCCTTTTATGCTATAACTACATTTAAAATATTATAATCTTTTTTATTTTATTTTATTTTTTTAAAGGATTGTGTTTAAAGAGGATTATAAAAAAGGTTATAACATTTAAAGAGACACCCATTTATAAATGCATTAAAGGGATAATGCAGTAAAATAGATAATATTTTGAAAGTCTTTCTTGTGCACCATTTCCCAGGCAAAAGTGTCTGATGTTTTCTGCCAATCCTCTGACTTCTATAACTTTTAGTTTTTTGTTTTTTTCTCTCACTTTGATAAAAAACAATTGCCAGAATAAGGTTGCCAGTTAGAAATAATATAGCATTGTCTTATATATACATTGGCAAGTGTGAGATTCTCTTTTTATTTTGTAAGTTTTCCGTAGTTTCTTAATAAATTGGCTGTAGTAATACAAATTAATGGTAAATGAGTGAAGGACTTTTTGTGCTATATAGTCCTTCTTTATTCCCCATATAGCTGATTACTTGCGAACGACATTACATAATTATTTCCAATTTAGCTCCTGGTTAACGAGAACTGCATCCAATTCTTGGACACGATCTGCTTGGATCTACCAACCTGTCTATTGTGTACAAATGTTTAATAGAACTAACTGATGCTTTCTTTCATTCATTGTATACTGTATATTACATTTCATTTGTACCAAGTATTATTGCTATAGAACAATGTATAAAAACAAGCTCTCTGTATGTCAGTACAGGTTTGGAAAATATAATTTGCCTATTGAATTTTTCCATCTGCCTTTAAACTGTCTGAATATCATTAGACGGATTTCTTTTAAAAACAGATGTCACTTGTTTAATGGATTTTGTAAAATACAATTTTGTGTTTATTTTGTGGTGATGAACGTTCCCTAGAAGCTATTTGTAATGTAAGCAATATCTTATCTACTTTTTTTTTCTTTTAAAATTACCCTTTAGCACTCACTTAATACTTACACCCACAGTTATTTTAGCCAATACGTATTAAATTCCTTGAGGACTGCTCTGTTTATCTTGAGGAATGCTGACCATAGCAATTCTCTATGACCTTTATCTAAAATTGGAATAAATGAACTAGGTAATAATCTGTCATCATTAAATGTATATATTTGTTCTGCATGTGTCTGTACATTGTATTTCATTACATAACTTTAGTTTAGCTCTAACATTCAACCAGAAAAGATCAGAACAAAAAAACTGAACTGCTGTTTGTCTGAATTTGGTTCAGGTTGATTGATCAACATCCCAAACTCTGAGCCAAAATTTAGCCAAATCACAAAACAGACAAGTTGCACAATGGCCAATCATGTTCGTTTTTATTTGTGATGTTATTTCTGCCTGCGGGTATAAAATAAGAGATGATTAAAGGGGGAAGAAAAAGATGATTATTGGATAGCGCACTGTCACTAAATCACTAAATATTGATTTTATTCACAGGTCTAGTGAGAATTGAGCAAGAGAGAGAAAAAGTAAAAAATAAAATAAATAAAGCAGTAAATAAAAATAAATATATTCTCTTTTATTTAAAATATATAGAATTTTAGTTTTTACTGCTCCCTCCTCGTTTTCCCTCTGTTGGCTACTTTTTCTCACTGTGAACCAAATGGCAGCCAGCACGTTACATACAGCCCATACGCATTAGGTATAGCCAGCAGCCGGGGGGGAGAGGGAGGGGAGAGAGGGTGAAACGAGAGTGGGTGAGATGAGGGAAGGAGAGAGGGGTGGAGGGGGAGGGGAGAGGGGAGAGGGGAGAGATGGGAGATCACTTTGGGGGGTGTGGGGACATGAGAGAGGAGAGACCAATAACAGACAGGGGAGAGCTCTAAGGGATTGGGGGGCAGGGGAGAGCAACAAGGGACAGTGGGGCAGGATACAGCAGTAAGGGACAGGGTGGGAGAGCACTAAGGAACAGGGGAGATCCCTAAGGGACAGTGGGGCAGGGCAGAGCTCTAAGGGACAAGAGGGGAGAGAGGCTGAGGAAGGAGGGAAAGAGAGGCAAAAAGGAGCTGGTAGGACTCAGCCCCTATCCTACCCCACAAACTCTCTATTTCACACTACACACACACAATGCATCCCTGTACATACACAGAAACACACAATGCATCCATACACACTCAGAAACACACCATGCTTCCCTTACACACAGAGAAACACACACACAAAGCAACCCTTACACACAAAGACAATGAACCTCCTTGCACACATACACAGAAACACACACTGCATTCCTTACACACAGAAACACACAATGCATCCCTTACACACACTGAAACACAATGCATCTTACACACACTCAATGCACCCCTTACAGATACATACACTGCATCCCTTACATACACAGAAACACACATTACATCCCTTACACATATAAACGAAGATCAACACAATGCATCCCTTACACACATCCAGAAACACACAATACATCCTTTATACACAAACACACACTGCTTTCTATCCCTTACACAAAAACACACTGCATCCACTGCATCACCGACATAAACTGGTGTCCCTATACACTACATTCCATAAGCACACACTTTAGATCCTCTACAATAACACATCCCCTACCCACTCCACCACATGTGAGCGAACTCATGGGTGGAACATATAGGTGGACTTATGGATGGGCCTTATGGGCATACTCACAGTCAGGCCCTGGGGGCCCAGACCTTGAGCTGTGCAAGGGGCCCAAAAAAACACAGCTGCTTCCCATTTTCCCAGAACATTGACTTTTGTGACCACAGTTACAAACAGCCTCCAGAGAGCCCGTTCTACACCAGACCACTGGAGCCAGACGGCAGCCAGAGCCCATCATCATCCTCATCTGGTTGTAAGTAGGCAATCCAGTATATTATTAGTGACACTAATCTCTAATTTACCTCACATTAAAGGGACACTATAGTCCTCAGAACCACTGCACCTTAATGTTCTGGTGTCTATAGCCTGTCCCTGCAGGCTTTTTAATGTAAACACATACTGTGTGCAGCACTGGCGTTAGTTCATATGCCTGTTTATATGGGTGGGGCAATGTGATGTCACTTGGGGAGGTCGGCAGAAAATTTTTCTTTTGCCTAGGGCGGCAAAAATCCTTGCACCAGCCCTGTGTGCACATGGCGGTTAGCACATAGAAAAAGGATGACATTAAACAGCATACTGACCAAGTGTCCCTATTTTAAAGCCTATATCACTCCGTCCCTCTTTTCTATCCTAATGTCCCTTTGTTCTGTGACGTTCATATTGGTGGTGTGTCTGAATTTATAACAGAGTGCCACACCTAGTATTCACAGTAATCTATCTTTTTATTTATTTTTTAAAGTTTTTATTTTTGCTGGCAAAAGTTAACAAGCAGTCATGCATTGCCACAATAGCAATTACAGGCAGTTTAAAGCAGACAGGATCATGACATGATATATTACTTCACAATTTTTAAATTAATTAAAACATACCATTATCGAGGGTATGTCATTGGATAGATGAGAAGTCCTAGCGTTATAACAGGGCACATATCCTTGCGTTTTAGTTACGAGAGACATATTAACTTGCTAGGTAAACTTTTCTTAGGAAAGTAGAACATAAACAAAGAGTGGACTGGTACTGCAAAGAATATAAAAAGCAAATAGAGTCAAAGCAAAGAAAATACAGGAGTTCACCATATGAAAAGTGAGCCAGTAGGATGTCTTCGGGGCAGCCACCGTGAGCCCCCTGCATCTTCACCCGATCCCCAGCTTGAGTAGAGACTGCTGGGCACTCAGACACCTCGAGTATAGGCGTGTGTAGCATGGGAGCACGTATGGTGAGCCTTACTCTGATGTCCCCAGATCCGTGCTACTGCTGGAGCTGCCATTTTGAGGAGTTAGTGTACCTGATTGTTGGGCTTTGAGTAGCATCAGGGCTGGAGAGCTGGCTAGCGCCTTGTTCTCTTGGTCACTGCCGTGGAGGCAAAAGTGCTCCGTGATTAGGCAGGCCTCCAGGAGGCCTTGAGGGCAACGTGGATTGGAGTGGGTGAGTGGCTTGTGGACATGTGGCTGAGGTTTGATAGCAGGTCGGCAGCTTAGACTGCTGTCTTGCTTCTATTGTGGCCCAGACGCCTGACAGACCTAAGTGCCGCAGCGAGTGAGGGGAGGGTAATCCGGTGCAGGAAAGTACTGAGGCCGGTACCAATCGATTTGCCAGATTCCCCACCATGCAGTGAGAAACTTGGTAGCTTAGAGCAGAAAACTGTATTTTGGAAGGAATAAAGCTTATTTAGCAGTTGTTGCACAGGAGCTCGCCTTACATGCGTCCACTCTGCTTGCCAGTCAGGCTCTGCCCCAGTAATCTATTTTTAAACTACAAATGTGTTTAGAAATCAATCTGTGTAAATAATATACATTGTTCTTGTTTTAAATTAAATTTTTGTTGCATAACTTGTTATGAGTGACTCACCTAAAATTCCTCAAGAGCCCTGCCCAGGCCACTCCACCACTCACACCTCTAAAATGAAAGTGTCCTTTTTTTTGTCCATTTGGAATGTTGCGTGGTATGAAACAGTGTTTCTATATATCTTCCTCATTTGCAAAGTTCGCTCTTGTTTGTACTGAATTATAAAGTTGTTTACAAAATCTTTAATATAAATAAATCTCATGGAAAAACAGGTTAACACGGTATAGGTGATGTCAGTGCTTTTAAAAAAATTTTAGTTTAAATTACAGAACTGGGGAGGTGCAAAAAATGGATGAATATAGAAAGAGGAAAAGGCATGTGGTGGCAAGGATCAATGTTTTATGAAGCGTTTCATGCTTTGCAGCTCTGTGCAGGGAGATAACCCCCAGAGCTCCCCCTGAAAGTAGCATACAGTCTAAATGGATATATCTTTTCAGACAATGTGAAGACATTGACAAGGTATGGCTATGGCGGTGTAAATAAAGTTTTATATAACTACTAAGTAGCAGAGAGACTGTATGGCCAGAATTTATGCACCAAATCTGCTTCCTTAAATTGATATGGTTTTGGTCTTTAGACTGACCCTTTAAGGCTTTTCCATCAAACCATGTCTCTGCAAAGCTCCAGTTATGAAGATAATTCAGAGGATGAATGGTAGTTAAGGTGGACACTCAGCTGGAGTGTCTTATTTTTACAATGAGGTTCCTGTGACCGACCATCACTTAGTAGATAGATATGCCAATGCTACGACTTAAACATGGTTTAAAAGACAGACGTTCTTGTCATATTTATTAATAGTTATATGTTGATGTAAAAAGATTGAAAACCTATGAAGTGTTTCAACAGATTAAAAAAATAAACAATATATAAAATATATAGGTTTACTTTTTGTTTCAGTCTAAACTGCAGCCATTGTATCATAACTACCAACAGTGGGAGGTATGAAATATACAAAGGGTTGTGTGGGCCTATGGCAAGGCGAAGGAGTGTTCCAACTAGGAAAGTGCAGGATAGCTTGAAAAAAGGGTGCTTGTAAGCATAGTACACAGGCAGATCACTTTTAAATTCTCAGGGCATTGCCTTAATTCTTTGACAGCATATTGCATAGGTCATGTGTGTCTTTTGATGAGTTTGTTCTGTGCTGTGCTGAATGCATGCCCTTTCCTGGTGCCCCAGATGTGGGACCCCTGGAAACTAACCTGGGATGGTTTGACAGGGCCCATTTTCAGAATGACACCACCAAACCCAAAACAATTTAAAGATAATGTATGATTTTTCTACATGAATGTCACTTTCTTTTATAATAATAAAAACCGTTGAAATGGAATTTTAAAAGAAATTGAGGAAATTAATGCATGAATAAAGTGGCACGTAAAGTTGACTAATGGCATATATTAGTATGGTAAATTCTTAGCTGAATGTACCTGTAATAACTCTGCGTTTACAACTTTTCTTGGAAAGATACACACCGGCGTTATAATGGTATGCTGACGTGTAAATATATCTGAACTCCACCCTTATAGTATTTCTGTAACCTTTGCTGCAGCTTAACACTCCTGCATCCAATGATATCTAGCACAGAGTTATAAATTAACTCATACTTTAATAGCTGCTGTAAAGGGATTGTCTATGTCAAATCTTAACCGTTCATAGTTTTTAATGCATTACTTAAAGGGACAATATAATTACCAAAACAATTACAGCTTAATATAGTTGTTCTGGTGTCTTCTGCCTGTCCCTGCAGGCCTTTTTCATGTAAACATCAGAGAAAATGCAGTGTTTACACTGCTGCCTAGGGATACCTCCAGTGGCTGTCATTCAGACGACCACTAGATGTGATTTCTGGGTCACTGATGTTCAGTGTCTCCAAGCTCTGCATAGTCCCTTAGCAGGGGAATTAATGGATAAGTAGTTTATCCAAGACAAACAGGTCTAGTAACCGCATAGGATGATAGGAACTGCTCAATAAACTGATAACAGCTATAACACAGCTGATACACATTCATACACAGCCTAGTTGGTATTTAGTGAACTCAGTTGTGTTTTACTATCAGGAAAGCCATGAGCCACACAGGGACAATCATATTGAAGTGGTTATAGTGCCTGTCCCCCACCCCCCCCACGCTTACTCGGTGCGGGTCGGGGCCGCAACACATGGCGGCGGGCACCTGGTCGCAGGGATTGCAGGGCTGCGACCGCGGTATGCACACACACTTAAAGGACCACTACAGACACCCAGATCACATCAGCTCAATGAAGTGGTCTGGGTGCCAGGTCCCTCTAGTTTTAACCCTGCAGCTGAAAACGGCTATGTTTCACTGAGGGTTAATCCAGCCTCTGGTGGCTGTCTCATTGACAGCTGCTAGAGGAGCTTCCACGATTCTCACTGTGAAAATCACAGTGAGAAGACACTGAACGTCCATAGGAAAGCATTGAGTAATGCTTTCCAATGGGCGGTTTAAATGCGCGCGCGCTTTTGCCGCACATGTGCATTCGAAGCTGAGAGGCGGAGGGATCCCCAGCGCCAAGGGAGTCCGACGCTGGAGAAAGGTAAATGCTGAAGAGACACACACACACACATTCTCACAAACAGACGCATACACACTAGCTAACAGACACACACATTTACTGACATACATACACACTCACTTACAAAGCATACACTTTCACTGACAAACACACACTCACTAACAGACATCAAACACACTCAGTAACAGACACCCACAGTAACACACTCACTAGCAGACACACACCCAATAACAGACACACTCACTGACACACACACACACTAACACAAACAAACAAACACTAACACACACACACACACACACATTTTTTTTTTAAATTTAATCCCCCCCAGCCTCCTTACTTTTTGGAGTGCTGGGGGAATTCCCTGGGGTCCAGTGGTGCTGCTGGGCAGGTGGCCGGTCGGGCAGGCGGGCGCGCGAGGGAGCACTCAGTGCTTCCTCTTCAGCTCCCTCGCGCGCCGCATAGGGATGCCGGAGCCGGAAGATGACATCATCTTCCGGCTCCAGTATCAGTGCGGTGCGCGAGGGAGCTGAAGAGGAAGCACTCAGGGGAGAGTGCTCCCTCGCGCGCCAGCCACCCGGACAGACAGACAGACAGCCCACCCGCCCGCCCGCCGGGTGTCAGCAGGGCCAGCCTCGGGGTGCCCTGAGGTGGCCGGCTCCTGGGCCCCCCAGGAGAAGAGGCTGGCCCTGTGGGCGCATACCAGGGTCGCAGGGGCGGCCGGGCCCCCTGGTATGTACGCCACTGGCTGAAGTGGCATGTACTCTCTTCCTCCTCAGCCATACTTCCAAAGGAGACCAGTCTATGGGCTGCTAAGCACCTTCATTCAGTGTTAAACCATTAAAAAATTGTTTACCACTGAATAGAGCAACTTACCGGGGGACTGTAGCCACGTTAACGTGATGAAGTAGCTGTAGTGTCTTGAGTATTCCTTTAAAAATGTTATTGTAGGTCCTTGAAAGAATCTGTTGCTATTCTTGTATTTTGTTATGATTCCGCAATTATGAACTGCAACCTTCAACATATATGCAATAAGAATTAAATTTGTATCTTTTTCCCCTCAGACCTGCCATTTGTGTTAATTTCTGGTTTGGCTGGGCTACACGTCTCATGCAATGAGGATCCGCCTGAGAAAATGGCCACTGATTGTGAAGACATGCGTTTTATTTGGACTCTTTATGATTACTTATGTGGTAGTGGAAATTTCTGTTTCTTCTTTTTACTCTCCTGAGGGTAAGGGGCTTACCACCAAGAGAAGGTGGGAAAGAGAATTTGCTGTTACGCAAGAGGAAATGGAGGACTTGAGTCACCCAGTTAATGCAAAACCACCCCCAGATCCAAACTCTCCAGGAGAATGGGGCAAGGCTGCCAGATTGCAGGTTGGAGTGGAGGAAAAAAAGATGCAGGACAACAGCATTGAGAAATATGCCATTAATATTTATTTGAGTGATAAAATATCATTGCATCGACACATACAAGATAATAGAATGTATGAGTAAGTATACCTAATGTGCTTCTATATACTATATAATGTTTGCAATATCAGATGTGATTATGAAGCCTGATATTTATTCTCAATGTTCACAAAGCTCTAGACCCCAAAAGACATGCCTGGCAAAGATTTATGGAGGCAGCTCTGTTTTTAACAAAGATCTGGTTTTACATTCTTAATTTTATCTGACGAGCCAAATTTGGTCAATCAGGATATTTATTTTATTTATAAAACATTTTACCAGGAAAGATTCTTTTGTCCTGGGTCCACAAATCATTGCATTGTTACATTAGGGTACAATAAAATACAAAACCAATATTAATACACAATAAATACAAATTTAAACATGAAACAGGTAGGAAATATATAATCAACCATGACACGTGCATTCTGTTTTGAGGTATGTAGAGAGGGATCTCTTAAAGGACTTTAGGATTGGGGAAGAATTTAAAGTGTGCGGGAGGTCGTTCCATAATTGCAGTGCTCTGTAGGAAAAGGATGATCGGGCCACTTTCTTTTTGTATTGAGGTAGACTAAATAAAGTGCTTGTACTGGATCAGAGGTTATAGGAGGTGGGAACAGCCGAGGAGAGCATTCTTCCCAGAAAAGCTCTTAAACACAAGGCTGGGAAGATGAAGGATATACTGTTTTATGCTGTCTATATTGTGAGCTCTAGAGATCTACATTTATCTCATCTTGAGGAGTTCTTGAGTTCTACATTCTGGGGCCATTGGCATATGTGCCGGCCCTACATTCTGTCATAAACCAATGGCAGCAGAAACCTGGGAGGTTCAGGAGACAAACATTTTTTCTCTTTTGTCAAGACACAGTTTAGATAGAAGCAAAGTTTGAGGATGCTTAAATGGAAAAATGTTTTTACATTAGTAAGAGGATTTACCCATATCTCCCAAAATTTATGGTTATATGGTTATATTGTTATGTTTAAAATGCTACAGGCACTTGCCTGACGTGAACACAGTTATACGGCTATGTTGTCAACCTTGAAAAGTTATTAGGATATTATCGCACCCTTGATGTGTACTGTTACTATGGCATGTAATAAGATGACACGGATCATGCAACCGCGACTTTTACCCTGCGCAATGAAAGGGGCTTAGGGGTAGGGGCTCTTCCTGAACACCTACACGTCCACATACACTCGGCTGGTGCCTAACCACGCATCCCAACCCACACTCGTGCTTACTCTACACGGCGGAGCCTAGGGGACACCTGTTACCTGATCCGATAGACGGGGCGGGACCCATACGCTCTCACCGTAACACGAGTCACCTTCACGGGGGGTGGTTTTCCTGAGACACCTCTGGTCTCAGTGGTGCAGCCTGCTTACGCGGGCGACTAACTATCTTCTTTCTTGCCTCTCTCACTTTCCACTGAGTTGTCTTCTCGTCCTCTACTCTGCTTACCCTCACCTTATCTATCTCTGAACTTAGACCGAACCCCTTGCATAGGTCTCTACCTGACCTGCTACGGAGGGTCATGCCTTCCCCAGGGGTTACCCCGCCACGGCTGGAGGGGAGGAGGGGGGAGAGTAGTGCAATGGATACAGATGGCAGACACGGAACGCATAACGCCTATCGCCCCGCTCCTCTGTCTGTCCTCACCCTCAACTGCAGAGGCTTGAATATACCAGAACGGCGGACCCACCTGCTGCGGGAACTAAAAAAACATCGCATATCGGTTGCACTTCTACAAGAAACCCACTTTAGAAAGGATGCTGCCCCCCGACTACATAATAGAAACTACCCGTCGAATTACTTTTGTGACCACCCATTAGCGCGAAAGGCTGGAGTGGCAATCCTAATGGCGGCAGACCTGGAATTCCAACAGCTAGATACACTACATGACCCGCAGGGACGCTATCTCTTTGTAAAAGGAACAATTGCAGGTATGCTTTACACCTTTGCTACAGCTTACGTGCCTAACAGACGACAGGCCCAGTTCCTCAGAGGAATGATAAACAAACTAAACGGCTTCTCTGAAGGAACACTGGTTCTGGGGGGAGACTTCAATGCTCCCCTGGACCCCATCATGGACTCCTCAACGGGACACAGCAGTATCTCGCAACTCAACATACGCTCTATGAGGAGGTCACTAGGGGACATGGATCTGGTAGACTGCTGGAGGACCCTACACCCCTCTACCAAAGATTTCACATATTACTCGGCGCTACATAATCGATACTCTCGTATTGATTATATCTTCATTCGTCAAATAGGCCTTCAACGGCTGATATCTGCCAAAATAGACCCTGCAACTTGGTCTGACCATGGTGCTGTTACTATAGAACTCGAATCACCCCTCTTTCGACCTTCCACGTGGTCGTGGAGGCTGAATGAAGCTCTCCTTCTGGAACCTGAGACGCGAATGCAAATCTCCCAGGCACTGGAACAATATTTCCGAGATAACGACATGCCAGATACATCCCCGATTTCAATATGGGAAGCCCACAAGAGCGTCATTAGAGGCACACTTATTCAAATAGCCTCCCGGAAGAAAAAGGTAGCCACGCGCGAAATGTCAGACCTCTATAGGTCAATCTCGGAACTGGAACAACGGCACAAACGTTCTCGCCTACTGGAGACATACGGGGAACTGACGCAGGCAAGGAGACGATTGAAGGACCTCCTTACGAAGCGACACCTAAGATCTCTACAGTACTCCAAGGGGTTCTTCTATGCCCACGCTAATAAAGGGGGGAAATATCTAGCTCGCCTTCTGAAAGGCAACACCCCTCGCACGCAGGTCCGTAGCATAACACTCACATCAGGCGCCACGACGATCTTTCCGAACGAGATCGCAGAGGAGTTTAGGAAATACTACCACTCACTGTATAATATTCATGCCCACGACGGTCCCAACAATCAAGATGCAGAGGACGCCCGGATACGAAATTACCTACAAGAATCCATCATGAGAACTATCGCTCCAGAGGTGGCGGAGACGCTGGACAACCTAATTTCCGAGGACGAACTCTCAGCGGCCCTGAAATCGTCCAAGACGGGTAAAGCTCCGGGGCCGGACGGCTTTTCAGTTGGATATTATAAAACATTTTCCTCCATTTTAATGCCTTGGTTCACGAAAGCCATTAACGCGGTCGCCACCGGGGAGAACTTCGGAGCGGAATCTCAGGCAGCCATAATAACAGTGCTCCTCAAACCCGGAAAGGATCCGAAGGCATGCGGAAGCTACCGCCCAATATCTTTGTTGAATGTGGATGCTAAATTATTCACTAAAGCCTTAGCTACTAGACTCCGTTCTGTCCTACCGGATCTCATCCACGTGGACCAAACAGGATTCATACCTGGTCGGGAAGCTCGTGATAGCACTCTGAGAGCATTCGCAATACAACATGGGGCACGGACAACTAAGCGACCGCTTCTCCTCCTCTCTACAGATGCCGAAAAGGCGTTTGACCGAGTGAGGTGGAGATATATGCTTGCGACCCTCACCAAAATGGGAGTTGGACACAGGCTCCTCACCTGGATTCAGGCTCTATACCACAAACCACAGGCCGCAGTTCGAGTCAATGGGGCCCTAACCCCTGCCTTTACGATTTCCAATGGCACGAGGCAGGGCTGCCCACTATCCCCGTTGCTATTTGCTATGTCCCTGGAACCCTTACTCCAAACTGTACGTAACAATCCTGACATTCGGGGATACCCCTGGGAAGGGGTGGAACATAAAGTGGCCGCCTACGCGGATGACTTATTTTTTATCACATCACCCCGAACCACAATGCCATGCCTGCTGGAAACATTTGAGCATTTCGGTAGAATTTCAGGTTTTAAACTTAACTTGTCCAAATGTGAGGTGCTTAACATCACTATACCCGACACTGAATACCAGGCCCTAGATCCCCTATTTCCATTCCGATGGTGCCCCTGCAAGATGAGATATCTAGGGATCTGGATCACATCGAACCCGAAAGACCTCTACGCCTTGAACTTCGACCCACTATTGAAGACAATCCTGGCAGACCTGGGGAAATGGACGTACCCACATATCTCATGGATCGGGAGAATAGCAGTTCTCAAAATGAACATCCTACCCAGACTCCTATACTCGTTTCAGACGCTCCCATTAGCTATACCCACACACTTTTCAAACTCGATACGATCAGCGGTTATACGTTATGTTTGGAAAGGGGAGAGGCCGAGGCTTCGACATGATTTGCTTTGCCTGCCGAGATGTCGGGGAGGACTGGCACTACCAGACTTCAAACGATATCATCAAGCTACAGTCCTCCAACGCATATTAGAATGGCACAATGTTCTACACCCGAAACAATGGGTAGCCCTAACCAGAGACGGACGAGAAGCCCGTTTAAAGTCAGCTATATGGACAGGGGGTTGTGTAACAAGGGTTGGAGGAGAGTCAACAGGGATTATAGCTCAGACGCTGACCAGCTGGGCTCACATAAGAGATCAACCCCATATCTCCCCTGTACCAAGTCCGCTGCTTCCCATCACTTACAATCCAACAATAGGAGGGGGCTTCCCGGCGACGGCGTGGCCATTCGCGGAGGGCCGCGAATACGTACCCATCTCCACGGTTCTGCAGGATGGCAACTTGCGAACTTTAAATTCCCTCCGGTATATGCAGGTCCGCCACTACTACAACACCTTGAGCAATAAAGAAAAACTACACAGGGACCGTACCTGGTTTGAAACGAGATGTGAACGTGGCTCCTCACTAGACAAAACCGTATCCACCTTATACCAACATCTCCTGGTGGGTAACCTAACGGAAAACAACACCTTCCGTAGACAATGGGAGACTCTGATGGATACCACCTTTACCCCCCAACAATGGGAGGGCGCACTATTCTGGCAACACAAAAGCTCCATTAGCACCCACTACCAAGAGACGAATTACAAATTAATCGCACTTTGGTACAAGACTCCAATATTACTCCACAGAATTTTCCCTACAATACCACCGACATGCTGGAGATGTCTCGAGGAAAGAGGCACGATAATACACATATGGTGGGATTGTCGCCTCATAGTCCCATACTGGGAGATGATCCGGGAGAAAATAGCAGAGATCTTGGGTGCAATACCCGAGTGGGCGGCAACACTACCCCTTCTACATATTTCAACAATGTCGATTGCCGCATACAAGAAATCAATTTTGCGTCATCTACTTAATACAGCCAAAGTTTTGATCCCGCTATACTGGAAACGGACGGAGACGCCCCGACTGGAAGAATGGATCCGCAGGGTGGAGGACATTCAGGGGGCGGAGGCGATCCAGGCTTCACTTCTTGGGAGGAGAGACAGACATGCAGAAATGTGGCGACCATGGTATACATTCGTGTCTCAGAGCAACTAGAGATAAGCAGCCTGTGGGGGGACACCCTGGGAGGGAGGGCGGCTCTCTGGGGCATGGCCATTTATACCTCCTCTCACTCCCTCAATTCGAACTGCATCCGAGGCGAGCGACAACTCTTCTTTCCTCCACTTCTTTCCCTCTTACCCTATTACTAAACATTTCTTTAATTTTCACTTATAATTTTTAACACATAAATGCACTTATTAGGATGGGGCATGAACACCCCAGCAAAAGGAAACTGCCCTGTAATAGGAACGCATCAGACCAAATATGTACGACAAACACGGTAACATTCATCCCTGCCTATTGGGATTCTTGGAACGACCCACAAACATAAGCGCACCCACCATCCCCCTTTCCCTTTTGGGGTAAACTAGAGGAGACGGCCCACCTCCAGAAGGACCGCACACTCACCAGCAGTGCTCACGGACTCATAATGATGCATACAGGGAGCCAGGGTCGTCACACGAAGTCCCCTGAACTACCCTAGTCCAGCCTGGCACACACCTTGAGGGAGCACAACTGCGCGAGCTACCAAAGGACCCATTAGCTGTAGGATACGATTAGGAACATATGACCATAGGGGTGCTCGATAGTCCCAAGAACTGATGGTAGGGTGATAAGGATAGCTTCATACCCCATAGTGCTCTGACCAAAAGTACCTGTGTCTTTGCGGTCTTAAGAGTAAATAGCTTCAGCCGTATAATGCTACTATGCCAGTTGGAACCTTCCTATATAATTTTACTTTGTGCACAATTGTATAACGTTTTAATACCTGGGACCTGCGTGTCCAAACTGTCTCAATTCTACATCTGTTTGTAATGAAGATAAAAAATACAAAAACTCAATAAATGAGATTTACAAAAAAAAATATCTCCCAAAATTTCAAATAGACAATGAGAGACTTTAATTATAGGGGTGTGAGTGAAGGTGTGGCTTTGAGAAACTTTAGTTGATTTACTAATAACAATTTATGGAAATAAAATGTAATTTAGAACAAGAACAGTTTATTCTTTTTGCAAAGACTTATTTCTAAACCCATTCATTGTAGTTTTAAGACACATTACTGTGAGTATTATTACTGTGGAGTTCTGTTATACACATCAGGCACACCAACAATATGGAACTCATAGAAAAGAGGGACAGGTGGATTTGGGCCTAAAATTGGAACTGTCCTTCCTGAATAGGGAGACTTGGGAGGTATAGTTCACTTCTGTAGAACATTCTAATAAATATTATTTTCCTTTTGTTAATTTTAAAAGTGTTTTTAGAATGTTGCAGTCTTAAACTGTAAGTGTGTACAAATTGTTGTCTCTGTGATATGAAATATACGTGAAGTGGCTGCTGTTTGTTAAAAACATGTGATATTCCCACACACCGACCGCTCGGACAGAAGTGTACCCGCACCAAGCGGCGACCATCACCTCTGCTCTCCAACCACCCAAGGAATGGGGCAGTCATGGTCTTCTGGAACATGCTGGTCGATGGAGATGGAATGCCGGCCCCTGTACAAGCCCAGACCTGGTGGGGAGTCCCACACTGGCACATAAACTTTCCTAGCTGCACATCAACCCTGCCACTTAGGGGAGTTGGCTGACTCTGGCCTCTGGCCTCTTGCCCCACAGGGCCTTTACCTGACATAAGCAGAAACCACATACTAGCTCTCTATGCTTAGTATATAGTTACTATCACCCATGCCATTGATAAATGATCATTTTTCTTTTTCTTTACTCTTTCCACTTTATATGCACAACTAGTGTGGTACAGTGATCTGGCAGCATTGCCAGGCCCGGTGGCTTTATCAGCTACGAGTCATTGCCTTTTGTTTTCATTTGAGTTAGTAGTCTTATCTCAAGCAAATTAATCTGGCATGTATACACCACTTATAATTCTTAAGATGTCAGTTTCAGTACTTAAAGCTTAGCCTGATACAGTTCACTGACCTGCATTATCGTGTTACCTTTTGTCTATATACCAAAAATTGTGCTAATATCCCGACTGCCACACTGTTCTGATATGTGTATTACTGATCCTGCCTTTGCTGTTGAGGCAATGCAGGCCTGTTTGTTAAGTGAGCACAACTAAATAAAGAATAAAAAATAAATTATTTTTTATAACCTAAATGTGAAGGCGTTTTACCTGTGTGAAATGGCAGCGTCATACAAAGCCTCTATTATCCCAGCATGCTGTCTGCCTGCCAAGCGCTCAAATGTTCCATTTGGGAAACCATACACATCTGTGCAGTGCAGTGACATAACTAAAATTAATAGGAATCCTGTAGCCGTATGCTTAACGGGATATGGCCTACTTCCAGTCACAAGTGTGAATGCTGGGAGAGACTATGCAAATCCACAGCAAATACATTGTAGATTAAAGGCCAACCTTTAACCCTGCATATCTGGCCTTGGAGTACTATTATTACATGCTACAATAGCACAATACAATTGAGTCATTGGCAAATTACATATTTCTGTATGGTTATACCTGGTTTATCCCAACACTTCTACAATATTTGCATGTTTTCTAGCACTCTCCTTTTCTGCTGTCTTGTTTATCATGCTTCATGTACCTTTTTGATACAAGGAGCATGGGAAACAAGCCTATGATGGAGTACAGACTATATGTTTTGTTTATTTGTTGTTTTTTTTTTTTTATCCTTCCCCTGGAGTGGTATAACAAGTGTCTTTAGAGTCATGGTTTCTACATTTTTCTAGCTGCACACAGTGCACTTTGATGCGATGGTTAAACCACATATATACAAGATCTGACTCACACTCCGTTTTAACATGCTCAGTAAAAAATACACATTCATGTGGATATAACTTCTATTTGTTCGAGCCAAACTATTAACTGGAAACAGTTAGAGAAAAGTCACAGCTCTTGATAAAGGCGCGATATTGCACTGAGCTGACGCTGATTTTTTTATATTGTCAGGAGGAACCCTTTACTTTTTAGACCAATTTAATGCTGATAGTGAGAATCTTTTGAGGCTAGATTTAAAGGGACTGCCTTGAAGCAGTGTGATCTATGTATAGGGAGGTTGTTTAAGAGGACTAGCTTTAGCTGTATTGTCCCCTCCCTCTGCCCCCTGCAAAATAAACCTTTGGAGACACTCTGGCTTAAACTGTCTCCATATTACTCCCTTATCTTTCAGTGCCTGGTCCTTTCTGTTCTGTTAGGAGGGGTTGAGGCAGTGTTCCAAATCGTTTGCTACTGGTTTAGCACTTGTGTATGGGTTCTGCTTTAAATGCAGGTTTAGTGATTGTCAAGTAATGGGAAGGCACTGACTATTTTTTTTCTGTACTAATTTGCAGATGCAAATCTCAGACATTCAACTACAGGAAGCTTCCTACGACATCAGTCATCATTGCATTCTACAATGAAGCCATGTCAACGTTGCTCAGAACAATTCATAGTGTTTTAGAAATGTCTCCTTCGGTACTTTTGAAAGAAATTATATTAGTTGATGACTTCAGTGATAAAGGTACTTTACATTTATTGATAATTGGTAAAATATATATTCTGGAATGTGCAAAGTCTGATTCGTTTTAATACTTTTCATACGTTTATTGTTACCTCAAAAGCTGGGCACATCTAATTTGTACTCGTGTAGTTAACCTTTTTCTTGGTGGTAGCACCCTCTAATTGAACGTGTGCACCAAGGTTCACCCCAGAGTTCTAGTGGCAAGTTATGGACTACTGGAAGGCCTGCGGGTACAACAAGACAGTGGTTGTCCTACGTGCAACTATCAGTGTTGGTGCATTTCCCACTGCATTATTTAGGATATACAGACTTTACATGCATTATAAAGAGATTGCTGTAACGGAGCTCCCTGTACTCCGACTGAGTACCCTCCGTTGACGGATGCTCCTAGCGCTTCCTGAGGAATCCAAGCACTGCAGCAGACACCACAACCACCGCAGACTCCGCAACCGCCGTATCTTGACTGGAGTCTCGCCGTCTTCCTTCCACCCTGGATCAGCTTCTGTCCTCCAGGACTGTGTGGGAAAGAACTCTTCTTTCCACCTTGTATGAACCTCCAGCATCCAGGACTGTGTGGTGAATACCCCTCCTCGAAGGAGAGCGTGTCAGAAACAAGCTCTTAAAAGAGCTAAGTGATTCAAGCTCAGGGGAGCATGCAGAGCATAGCAATCCCCGGTGTGATTATAACAGCTCCCTCCAATAACGAGACAAGGCTACGTTTAGAGGGATCAAGAAGAACTGTCAAAACCTTTATTTCCCTTGGGACCAGCCAATAGGGTCACCACAATAACATTGTTGTGAAACCTCAATAAAATCACAAACAGTCAAACCATATCAAGCAACACACAGTGACTTATCACAACACAATGGCACATTTTTAAAGGGGTGGGGGGAGACAATATTTAACAGTAAATATCTCACCTGCCTGCAGAATTAGCAATATGCAAATCTGGTGACTATAGTGACTATAGTGCTTGAAGCCAATGATTGCACTCACCAGAACAACTACATTAAGCTGTAGTTATTCTGGTGACTATAGTGTCCCATTAATGTTCCTGCTGGAGGTCTAACTTCACCTCAGACAGGTTTAATTAGCTAGCCGGTGCAAGAGAGCTCATGCTAATTCTGTAGATATCTACTGCAATGACATTTTGTCATGGGCTGACACTCAATGAATGAACATTAGTATTGGCATCCTGTTTCTACAGATGGCACAGCTGCCTTTCTTGGAGGCACAGCACACAGGTGAGTGGCGAACTTACGGGTTTGCCACCTTACCAAGGAATTGCACCAGGATGCTACTGGCATCATAATTAATACAGAGTTAAATGCACAAATACATTTTCAGGGCATACCATCAACACCCATTGTTTCCCCTCACCTTTTTGCAGGTGCTTTCACAGCTCTTGCAAGACAAAAATAAAAATTTTTTTTTTTACATATTTATATATATATTAGCCTTCACTATTTCATATTAATTTTATAATATTATATGGGGCTCTATAATAACATACGCTGGTTGCATAGGTTATGGTGCAATGAGGTTCCTTGTCCCTTTCACCATGAACATGATATATTCTAATTGCAGTGATTTACAAATACTCTGCAGGTGTATTTCAAGTGTATGCCTGTCACTCTAGTGACTAACATCAGAGGAGGCAGCAATACCTCGTTCATTGCCTGTCCAACAATTTCTACAACTTCTGCAAATTCCCACCTCAGCTAGCAGGCTTCCTCGTACCTTGCTTATCTAAGTATTCTTGGCAGTGGTTTATGGCATAAGCCCAGGCTCAACTGAATTACTTTTATTGCAGCAGCTTTAGGTTACTGCCTTTACCAAGACGTGTCAGTGTCTGACTGTGACAGCTTGCATAACCCCAATACTATGAATCATCCGGTCACTTGGAAATAATTAGAGGGGTGTGCAATATAGCATGCTTGATTATTCATGGTTTCTTTAAATGATTACATCAATGGAAACTTGCTAAGTGCTTGTCAGGGATATGTTTTATTCTAGTAGAGCAACTGGAACTTCAGCTGACACTGTTGTTCTGCCACCATTTAAGTCATTTCTCAAGTCCTCTATATGGGAAAACACTTTGGAACCTTTAGAATGGATTAAATTAACACCATTTATTCTCCTGTGATTTTAAGAAGCTAAACTCCAGACTGCTCATAACGTTTAGTCCCTGTCCATATTACCCCTACTCAGCCTTCATCAGGGACCAAATAACTAAAGAAAAATTTGATGAGCAATTATTGAACTATCCCCAACAAATGCAGCTCAACAAGCACTTCATAAACGTCTAGATTTCTGCATGCATTTGTTTCCCCCCCCCCCCTCAAACATTGAGTTGTATTTAAAAGGACACTATAGGCACCCAGACCACATAAGCTCATTGAAGTGTTCTGGGTGCGGTGCAGTTTCCCTATGGTACTTAGTGCTGCAGAGTTTACATTGCAGTACTAAGTCTGACTCCAGTGACTGTCTCCCAGACAGCCACTGGGGGTGCTTCTTGAATACTAATGGACCTTTGGTCCGGTAACTGATGCTTGATGTCCTCACACTCTGCATGAGGACATCCAGCGTCCAATTTATTTATTTAGTTTTCCATAGGAAAACATTTATTCAATGCTTTCCCATGGGGAGGCCTAATGCACGCATGGCATTTGCTGCGCATGCACATTAGCGACCGCTCTTTGTGGGACATTGGAGAAGCCGAGAGACATCAGCGCTGGGGTAAAGTAAGTAAATAAAGGGTTTTAACCCTTTATTCACATAAGCGGGGGCGAGAGGGAGAGGGGAGGCAGAGGGAGCTTTGTATTCCTAGCCCTTATAGTATCCCTTTAAGCGAATATGCATGCTATGAGCAATTTTAAAATGTTTAGAATGCAGTGGGTTTGATGTTCAATGTAACTCTGTTGCACGTAATGTTTGTGTTTCATTTGCCTGTCTAAGCACCACACCACAACAGCCCATTGTTGTAGTTGAGGTAATAGTAGGCTGTAGACTGTCTCTTAGTTGTTTGAAAAAGTGGGGGTACCCAGGCACCTGCAGGCCATATTGATAATACAGTAATTAACTTTGCCAGTAGTAAGATCTGTTTCATCCATATATGTATGTATTCATTCAGTTATGCCAAGTATGTGTAGACATTATGCAGGAATGAATTAATTTTATATCCTTGTGCAAATTTTTTTCTAGTGTATTTGAAGACTCAACTTGAAACATATATCAGCTCCTTGGAACGAGTCCGATTAATAAGGACAAACAAACGTGAAGGATTAGTGCGTGCACGGCTGATCGGTGCTACTTATGCCATAGGTGATGTGCTCACATTTCTGGACTGCCACTGTGAATGTGTCACTGGTTGGCTAGAACCACTTCTGGAGAGGTATGTTATAGACTGTATCAAAAGAAAAATTACAATGGTACAAAAAAGTTATTTTCTGATATTTAATTTTGATTTGTTTTGTTTTATTCGCTTAGATCTCCAGTTTAGGAATTGCTTACTTCTATTGCAAGAGACATAGGCATAAAACGTGTCCTGTCATGCTAGACTAAGGGAAAAGATTATAATTGATTTAATGGTTTGGCATCCTGTGGAATAAAAACAAAGGTTATAGCTACCTGGAAACATATAATGTGACGGCAGATAAGAACCATTCGGCCCATCTAGTCTGCCCAATTTTCTAAATACTTTCATTAGTCCCTAAATACAGTAAATACAGTATTTTCCAGTGGGACACGTACATAAGAAAGTAATCCAAAAAGATACTCAAAACACCTTTGTGAGTACCCTTCACCCTCACATAAAATTTAGATATACATACAGTGTAAGGTGGAGTTTCTTCTGGTTACAGGTAAATACAGGTAAATTCTAAAAGTAGAACACAAAATAACACTTGATAGTGCAATATTGTCTGAATAATGAATATAGTGAGGATAAAATATATAGTAACACACTCACAAAATTAGAGCCTGTAATGTAAGGCTCAATTTTCCAGCGCTGTGGGATTAAGGATCACCACTTCCTTCTTTTAGCTTGCCAGGGGATGGAAAAAATCCAATGTCCTCTCACATATCGGTATAAAGTGGTGAAAGTGCTTTAATAGTAAAGTGCACAAAATGAAATAAAAAACAAGACCTTACAGTTTAAGGTAATCTTGTTGGAGTAGTCTCTAGCTGCAATACGCGTTTCGCCTCGTCTGGAGGCTTCCTCAGTTGCTCTGGTTGCTTGTAGTTCATGATCTATATTTATATCCAGTCTTTTGCGCCTTTTTTTTGGTCTCCTCTCTCTGTTCGCGGCATTTTTACTTCCGCGTTCCACCGGTGGAACGCATCAATCGAGTCACTTCCGGTTTCGGCTTTTGCGTTCCACAGGTGGAACGCATACAATATTCCTCCGTTTTTCATGTGTTAGGGTGCAAATGAATTGTGCAAAACAGTCCATATGGGTATAGGGAGGTATAGGGAGCATGAAATTCATAGTTCATTAGTGAAAGAGATATAAATATATAATAAGCATTCCCAACAATCAGGTAAAGGGCATAAACATGTCAAACATGCAAATCTAACAGGATGCTGTCTGGAGAGAAAAAAGAACCCTAATGTAAATCAGCAAAGGAAAATAGGCAAGTGCTAGATAAAATGGGAATATAATAATAGATATGGCAATAAAAGGAATAAAAAATAATAATAATAAGAGTAGAAACCATTTAAGACCACATAAAAAAGCTAAATGGTTATGTATTAGTACCTTAAAACAATATAGTTAATGTATTAGTACCTTTAGACAATATATAAAATTCTTAATTAAAAGTGGCAAACTTCAAAGTCTAAATTTAACCCATAGGGGATAAGGGTTTTAAAAGTGTATATATATTTCATTTCTTCTTTACCTAATAATTTAATGTAGTTACCCCCTCTCCAATCTCTCTTTACTTCTTTAATAGCACAGAAAAATAAATTCTCTGGGTTTTGGTTGTGGACATCTTTAAAATGTTGGGATACGCTGTGAGTCTCCAAACCATTCCTTATGTTCCGTATGTGTTCAGCGATCCTAACCTTTAAAGGTCTAATAGTTCTTCCAACATAGAGTAACTTACAGGGACATTGTAAAATATATACAATGCCCTTGGAGTGGCACGTAAGGTGGTCTTTAATAATGAATGGTTTCTGGATGAGATCTTCTAAGTTTTCAAAGTGCCTTTTTGTTTGTTTGGTAATTCTGCATGGAAGACATGTGCCACATCCATAAAATCCTTTAAGATCTTGAAGAAAGTGCTTAGGTTTTGTGGGGTTTAAATGACTCTTGACTAAAATATTTTTAAAATTCTTAGCTCCTCTATACGTGATTCTGGGTTTGGTTGGTAAAATTTTAAATAGGATTGGGTCATCTTTTAATAAATGCCAATGCTTATTTATAATTTTGTGAATACGTCTATTTTGTCCATTAAAATCGCAAATAAAGGGGACTTCATTGGTGTCTATCTGTATTGTCTTTGGTTTGTATTGTATGAGTTGTTTTCTCTTTAATCTTCCGACTTCTTCTAAATCTTGGTTCAAAGATATTTCATTGTACCCCTTTTCCAAAAACTGCCGTTTAATATAAGTGGCCTGTTCTGAATAATCACTATCTAGTTTGCAGTTCCGTCGAATCCTTAGAAATTGACTTTTTGGAGCATTGTGGAGCCAAGGTTTATGGTGACAGCTACTAGTATTTATGTAGCTGTTTGCATCAACTGGTTTAAAATAATTACTGGTAATTATCGTCCCATCTTCGATCCTGATGTTGAGATCTAAAAAGTTTTATGTTGGATGCACTGTAATTATAAGTGAGATGAATTCCATAATCATTGGTATTTAACTGGGTTATAAATAATTGTAAATCTTCTATGGTGCCAGTCCAAATAAAAAAGATATCGTCTATGAAGCGGCAATAGGACACCAAACTCGCCCCCCACACATGGTTTGATAATACCCATGTTTCTTCCCAAAATGCCATGAAAAGATTGGCATAACTCGGGGCGAATTTGGTGCCCATCGCCGTCCCACAGATTTGTAGATAAAACGTATTCTCGAACCAAAAATAACTATGGGATAAAATTAGTAAAATTCCTTCTAAAATGTATTGAATCTGTTCTTCTTTAAAATAAGATTTGGTTAAAAAATGTTTTACTGCTGCTATTCCCTTGTCGTGAGGTATAATACTATACAATGCAGTAACATCGCATGTAACTAATGTATTGCCCTCTGTCCATTTAGTTTCTTCTAAAATTTGTAAAATATGAATGGTATCTTTAAGATATGTTGGATTTTTTATCACAATCGGCTGAAGAATGGTATCGATATATTCAGAGATCCTAGTGGAGATTGAATCTATTCCCGATATAATTGGTCTTCCTGGGGGATTAGTAATATTTTTGTGGATTTTAGGTAATAAGTAAAAAACCGGTATTTTTGGGTTATCTATCCACAAATAATTTGCTTCTTTTTCAGTAAGAATTCCTAAAGTTTTTCCTTTTTCCACATACTGTTTAAAAATCTCCATAGTGGCATTAGTGGGATTATATGTCAGTTTCTGGTAAGTCGAAGAATCTGAAAGTATTCTATTTGCTTCCTTAATGTATGCCTCTTTGTCAAGAATTACGGTTCCTCCACCCTTATCCGCGGGCTTGATTACTAATTGATCACTATTTTTAATGACATTTAAGGCTTTTTTTTTTTTTTCCCCTATTGATAAGTTGTGTTTATATTTATTGGTTCTCTTGAATTTCTCTACATCCTTCATCACCATAGTTTCAAAAGTTTGAATAGCATCCGAAATTAGATGTCTTGGGAAGAATTGTGATTTTGGCCTAAGTTGTGTATGAAAATATTCATTATCATGTTCTTCTTGCGGTTTATTTTCTTTATTATAAAAAAAATTTTTTAAACATAATTTTCTTTTAAATAAATTCATATCTACAAAAAAATTAAAAGGGTTAAAATCTGCCGTAGGTGCAAATTTAAGACCTTTATTAAAAATATTTGCCTGTTCTAAGGTAAAAGATTGTTCTGTTAGATTAAAAATTCCTTCTAGATTGATGTCTTGCCTCTTTTCTCTCTGTGCTGGTCTCTTCTTTCTTCTCTGTCTCCTTCTTCCTCCAGGGACCTTTGTCTTTTCCCCTGTGATTCCCAGGGTTGGGCATTGTCTACCCATTTTCTCCTGTTTTGAATCAGGTCCCTCCGAAAAAAAGAAGGTGATGGTGGAGTATCTGGAGGGGAAGGGGTATTCTCATTTCCTTTTCTTTGTCCTCTATGTTGAGGGATTGGCTTCTCCTGATGATGGTAAAAGGACTCCTCCCTCGGATGTTTTTCTTGTTCTTTCCTTTGGGCTCCTTCTTTCACCACATCGCTATATTTTCTGCTGTCCTGATTATTGGTGGTGGTTACAATAGACTCAAAGTTAGTACGTTGTTGTCTCCTCTGGATCGGTATATGTTTATAAGTTTTAGGAGATTCAACAGTCTTATTATCATAGATCCTTTTCTTATTATGGTCTGGTTGCCATCTATTTTGTTGAGCTCCATTTGTATATTTCTTTGTATTATTTTCATATGGAACTCTCTTACTTCTATCATATTTTGTGTTTATGTCGTAACTCTCTAAAGGGTTATCTTTATATGGAATTTTCCTACGTTTTTCCCATTTAGTGTTGTTATCGTTTCTCTCTAGTGGATCTCGAATAGTTAATGGGTGTTGTGAATAATTATCCTGACCATATTGTTTTCTTTTAACAAAAGTGTTCTGACGTATATTTTTTTTATTTTTATTATTTCTTTTTCTTACATTTCCTGTCTTGTAATCGATTGTGTCTCTCAAATATTTTTTCTTTTTTATTTCAATAATATCTAATTCAATTTTATCTACTTTTAATTGGATTTCTTTTAGGATATCGTTATAGATTTCTGGGCTTGTGGATTCTGCCAAACAATTTTTCCATTTGGTAATTTCTTCATCAAGTTTAGGGAGAGTTTCTTCTCTTCTTGCTACGATATACCCCATTGTACTAAATGAGAAGCCATCAAGTAGTTTCTCCCAACCTGCCATAAAGTGGGGGTCTTCTCTATCGAAACTAGGGTCCTTGTCGAACCTGAGGCCTCTAGGGGTGATTTGATCTCGAACATATTTTTTAAGGGTTGCAATCTCCCATTTGACCTTCATCTCTTTTATAAGGTATCTCTCTAAATTATATCTGGATTTGTTTTGATCACTGTATTGTGGAACTGAATTTCGTTCTATAGTTGTTTCAAAGCAAACATCAATATTGTTAGTACGATATTCTCTATTATCTAAAAAAGACATCTTAATGTAGTGACCGCTTCAAATACTGAGAAGGGGATTGTATATAAAAATACACAATGTTATACAATAAATACAGTAAATACAGTATTTTCCAGTGGGACACGTACATAAGAAAGTAATCCAAAAAGATACTCAAAACACCTTTGTGAGTACCCTTCACCCTCACATAAAATTTAGATATACATACAGTGTAAGGTGGAGTTTCTTCTGGTTACAGGTAAATACAGGTAAATTCTAAAAGTAGAACACAAAATAACACTTGATAGTGCAATATTGTCTGAATAATGAATATAGTGAGGATAAAATATATAGTAACACACTCACAAAATTAGAGCCTGTAATATAAGGCTCAATTTTCCAGCGCTGTGGGATTAAGGATCACCACTTCCTTCTTTTAGCTTGCCAGGGGATGGAAAAAATCCAATGTCCTCTCACATATCGGTATAAAGTGGTGAAAGTGCTTTAATAGTAAAGTGCACAAAATGAAATAAAAAACAAGACCTTACAGTTTAAGGTAATCTTGTTGGAGTAGTCTCTAGCTGCAATACGCGTTTCGCCTCGTCTGGAGGCTTCCTCAGTTGCTCTGGTTGCTTGTAGTTCATGATCTATATTTATATCCAGTCTTTTGCGCCTTTTTTTTGGTCTCCTCTCTCTGTTCGCGGCATTTTTACAAAAATTACAATGGTACAAAAAAGTTATTTTCTGATATTTAATTTTGATTTGATTTGTTTTGTTTTATTCGCTTAGATCTCCAGTTTAGGAATTGCTTACTTCTATTGCAAGAGACATAGGCATAAAACGTGTCCTGTCATGCTAGACTAAGGGAAAAGATTATAATTGATTTAATGGTTTGGCATCCTGTGGAATAAAAACAAAGGTTATAGCTACCTGGAAACATATAATGTGACGGCAGATAAGAACCATTCGGCCCATCTAGTCTGCCCAATTTTCTAAATACTTTCATTAGTCCCTAGCCTTATCTTATAGTTAGGATAGCCTTATGCCTATCCCACGCATGCTTAAACTCCTTTACTGTGTTAACCTCTACCACTTCAGCCGGAAGGCTATTCCATGCATCCACTACCCTCTCAGTAAAGTAATACTTCCTGATATTATTTTTAAACCTTTGCCCCTCTAATTTAAGACTGTATCCTCTTGCTGTGGTAGTTTTTCCTCCTTTAAATATAATCTCCTACCCACTTCTCCATATCCCGTATTAATGTCCTGATAAGAGGTGTGTAATTTTGTTGGTGTCAAAGAGAGGGGTCCGCCGTTAAGCAGATTCCCAAATATTTAATATAATCTGTCGCGATACGTATCTGATATGTCCTCCCTATGTGCGCCGCGTCCGTATCACTCAACCCAATGGGGAGTGCACTCGATTTATGTAGGTTGACTCTGTATCTGGCCACTATGCCATAATCCATCAATATCCTTGTCAGAGCAACCATAGACTCTAGCGGAGCAGTCAGTGATAACAGTATATCGTCCGCGAATCCCGATATAACGTATTTCTGCCCCCCTACTGTTATTCCCTTGATCTCCGGGGTTGTCCTTATCTTGTGCATGAGGGGTTCTAAGGATAATACGAATAGTAGCGGTGACAGAGGAGAGCCCTGCCTTGTGCCATTACTCGGTGGGAAAGGGATAGATTGCGCTCCCGTTATCCGCACCTGCGCCTTGACATTGGTGTACAGAGCTTGAATGGTTGTGATAAACTGGGCCGGCATGCCAAAGTGGCGCAGCGTCTCAAATAGGTATGGCCATTTGACTCTGTCGAACGCTTTTTCAGCGTCTGACAGCATCAGTGTCGGGATTCGTAGCCTAGCTTGTCGTCCTATGAGATCAATGTTGCGTCTCGTATTTTCAAACAGTTGCCTACCCGGCACGAAGCCTACCTGGTCCGGGTGAACCAGGCGAGTGAGAATTGGGTTTAATCTAATCGCCAGTACCTTGGCTAGAATTTTAGCATCATGGTTGATCGATGAGATTGGTCTAAAATTCTCTGGTATTGAGTCATCCTTACCCGGCTTAGGTAGCAAGACTATGTTTGTTTGCAAGCGACATTTCTTGATCTGGGGTCCCCCCTTCCTGCAGATCGTTGAACCATGCTTCAAGGTGGGGTAATAGCTCCTCCCTAAAAATCTTATAGTAGCTTCCATCAAAGCCATCCAGGCCAGGCGCCTTGTTGCTTTTTAAGGCTGAGATCGCTGCGCCTATTTCCTCTGCCGTGATCTGGGTTTCAAGTGTTGCCGCAGCCGCCTCGCCCAGCTTTGGAAGAGGGATTCCAGAGAGGAACTCTCGTACCCCCTCTAGTTCCCTCTGCGGGTGTGAATCCACCCCCTGCGAATGGTTATATAATGCGGTGTAGTACCCCGTAAACACTTTGGCAATTTCTGTAGGATTCGTTTGGTAGAGTCCCGCAGCATTCTTTGTAATGTGTGTGTTCCGTTGTCGCGGTCTCAGTGCTCTTGCCAGTAGAGTATCCATTTTATTGGCCTTTTCATAAAAGGTCTGCCTAGACCAAACTATGGCTCTCGTAGTGTCGTCAAGGAGCGTTACTCGTTTGGCATATCTGGCATCTTGTACCTTCTTTAAATTAACGTGTGAGGGGTCCAAATTGTGCCGTTGCTCTGCCAATCTCAAAGCATCTAGTTGAGATGCCACTAATTGAGCTTTTTTCCGTTTCCTGAGTGTCGCTTCTCTAATCAATATCCCTCGAATGACGGACTTGTGAGCTGCCCATATTACAGCTCTGGACACCCCCGATGCAGCTTCCCTTAGGAAGTACTCATTTAGTTCTCTGCGGACGATATCAACTATTTCCGCGTCCCGCAGCAGCGAGTTGTTCAGCCGCCATGACCACGGGGTTGCTGTGCTTAACTTGTCCAGGGTGACAGAGAAATCCGCGTGATCCGACCAAGTTATGGATCCCACGGATGACTCAGAGGCCCTAGAGACAACTTGGGAGTTTACTAAAAAGAAGTCAATTCTAGAATGTGTGGCTGTGAGTAAAAGGTATAATCTTTCTCATCTGGGTGTTGAGCTCTCCAAATGTCTATAAGCCCTGTTTGTTGTATGAATGTGTGCAATAGTCTATCTTGTCCGGCACCTTCTGTGGGATCAGGGAATTCCCTTACAGGGTCCCCTGTCCACCGCCGGGGATTGAGCCGCGTTGAAATCGCCCCCCACGATCACCATTCCCTTCGTAAGTGTGTTGACAGTGTAGGTAAGTTCCTCCCAAAACTCCCTAGATGGATCGTTGGGGGCATATAAATTGAGGATATGAATTGCGTGGGAATACAAGAATCCCGACACTGATACAAAGCGTCCCCCTGGGTCGATTCTAACTCCACTAATTCTGATCGGGCACCTCCGATGTATCAGTATGGCTACGCCATTCCGTTTATTGAGGGCTCTCGCTTCATATGTGGTATTGTATGTATAATCTTTGAGAGCGAAATTGGCCGTTTTAGGTAGATGTGTCTCCTGTAGGAAGGCTATATCTGGATTCAAACGCTTCACTTCCCTAAACATGAGCCGTCTTTTCTTAGGTGCATTCAAGCCCTTAACATTTAGAGATATCAACTTAATAGGCATGGGTAAATCCGTGGTGTGCCACCCCAACCAACATCCTGGCACCTTGATTACTAGATTGAGCCCCTGGACCTCCCCCATCCGTTCCCCCGGGGAGTGTAAAGGAAGGGAGAGAAGAGATAGGATAGAAGGAGGGTAGAAAAAAGAGTAAGAAAAAGTAAACTTTGTACATAAATCGCCTGGGCTTACCTGTAGCCAGGCACGATTGGGGTAAATGTCCCGCCACCCCCAGTGCTTCGAAGAACCCTGGGGTGTACGGGGCATGGACCAGCCAATGTGGGCACTGTGTCAGTGCCAACTGAAACATCAAGAATAAACACCACCACCTATGTGGCTTGTAACGAATATAATAAAAACAGTAGAGCCGCCCCAATGGGCGCAGTTATCCGCCCAAGATCCTCGCCCATATTTTATCGCCCATTATTTCTTATATGGGATATAGGCCTCTTCCCCATTTCTCTCCTTTTTCTTTATGTATTCATCATTTTTTCTTGCTTTTTTTTTTTTTCTTTTTTTTTACATTATGTCTTTCTTTTTTTTTTTCTTCTTTTTTAAGATTTTCCTTTTTTTTCCATTTTTTTCCCCTTCTTTCTCTTTCCCCTCTTTCTCTCTCCCCCCCTTCTTCTTCTCCCTTATCTCCCTCCCCTCCTTCTCTTGCTAATACCAGTATCTAATGTGGAGGGCCGCCAACCAGCCATTCACTGGGGGTGGGCGGGTCGGAAGCCTCCGCAAAAATCTGAGTTTTTTTTATAATTACTAAATGTTAACTTTTTTTTTTACTATTTTGGCCACATCTGCGTAGTACCACAGTGGTTTCTTGAATTTTTTGCTTTTACTGACCAGCCTAATGCAATTTTCTGTTGCCTTCAGCAGTGCAACTTTTAAATAATCCAATTTCTCTTGGACTCCATTTAAATTGCTCCAGTCTGATAATGACTCCTCTACCCATATTCTAATTTTAGAAAAGTCTGTTTTTTTTAAAGTCTAAAACTTTTGTTTTTGTGTGGTGTGACCCAGTCACTGTTCTTATATTAAACCACACTGACTGATGATCACTGGATCCTAAACTTTCACCTACAGTAATATCTGATACAAAATCTCCATTTGTTAACACTAAATCTAGTATGGCCTCTTTACGAGTTGGCTCCTCAACGACTTGTTTTAGAGACAATCCCAGTAGGGAGTTTAGGATATCTGTGCTCCTGGCACAAGCAGTTATTTTGGTTTTCTAATTCACATCAGGAAGATTAAAGTCACCCATGATGATAACTTCCCCCTTCATTGTCATTTGAGCTATTTCCTTTGACTAGTAGATTATCTAACTTTTCTATTTGTCCTGGGGGGCCTATAAATCACACCTACACGAGTTACTGTGTGATTACCAATTTCTAACGTAACCCAAACGGACTCTATGTTCGCCTCACTAACTTTTCTTGGGCTAGATTTTATGCTATCTTTCACATACAGGGCCACCCCCATTTCCTGCCTTCCCTGTCTTTTCTATATAAAGAGTACCCTAGTATTGCTATGGCCCAGTCATTTTTCTCATTATACCATGTCTCAGTAACAGCGACTAAATCTACATTATCAGTTGCCATTATTGCCACAAGTTCATGGATCTTATTCCCTAAACTGCGAGCATTTGTAGACCTGACTCTCATCTTATCATTTTTTAACACACTTGCTACCAGCACCTTCTGTCCTTGTTTTGGGGGGCAATTGGATTGATGTTTTATCACCCTTTTGCTCCCCCTCCTAGTTTAAATACATCCTAGCAAAACCTCTGAACTGCTCACTGATAACATTTGTTCCCCTTCAAGAAGGATGCAAACCATCTTTTTTGTACCATTTATTTCCATTCCAAACAGAGCTACCATGAGAAATAAAGCCAAATCCTTGCTTCCGACACCATTCACCAAGCCACAAGTTTAAGTCCCTAATACGCATCCGCCTGTCGTTCTGAGTGTTATACACAGGCAGAACTTCAGAGAATGACAGTGTGGAAGCAACCTGCCGTATATCATTGGCAAAAACACTAAAAACTTCCTTAACCTCTGAAACCTCATTGCAAGCCAAGTCATTTGTCCCTAGATGGACAAGTACATCCAATTCCCCTTCCTGCTTTGCTCGCTTAACAATATTACAGATACGTCTCCTGTCTCTGTGAGCAGTAGCTCCGGGAAGACATCTCACAAGACCACCATTTTCCATCTCCACCCCTCTTATGATGGAATCCCCCTCCAACAACAACTTCTATTAGGCCTCACCATAGTCTCCAAGCCTGTCTCCACTACACCACTACACTTGGTGCCTGAGCTTGTCTCAACAACACCACTACACTTGGTGCCTGAGCCTGTCTCCACAACACCACTACCCTCCGTGCCTGAGCCTGTCTCCACAACAACACTACCCCCTGTCCTTGTCTCCATAACACCACTACACCTGGTACCTGAGAATGTCTCCATAAGAGTTTGTTTACCAGATAATTTACAAATCTCAGATTTCAAAAATACAATCTCCTGCCGCAATATAGAGAACGGTCTACAGATTAGACCGCATCCAAATCTCCAAAAAGTGGAACGTGAAACAAATGCATAACAACTATTACACTGAACTAAATCTGACATTTCAATGAGGTAAATAATTTAAATCAAACAAATCTTACATTTTTGTCCTCCTGAATACCTCAAATTACCTCCAGTTTATCTCCAGAATATCTCCAACCACACACTTAGAAGCAGCACTCTCCAGAATATCTCCAACCACACACTTCGAAGCAGCACTCTCCAGAATATCTCCAACCACACACTTAGATGAAGCAACCAAGCTATATAAGCCAAGCTAATGACAACAACCCTTATAGAACTCCTAAAAGCACCACCCACTAGGAATGTTTAACACCTGGGTAGGCCTATGCTTATTTGCAAACAATAGCTAATTAAGCAACAATCAATAGTAAGTATTTAGCAAATGAAATCAAATGCCTTACTAAATTACCAACAGGAAATCAAACCTTGTACAATCAGTAACATTTTCCTACAGATGAATCTTACCTGTAACAGTAGAAAAGAAAACTCCTAGCAAAATCTTAGACAGTTGAAGCTTCTGTAAAACTCTCCAGAATATCTCCAACCACACACTTAGAAGCAGCACTTAGATGAAGCAACCAAGCTATATGGAACTATGAGAGTATGATGATGAGAGTGTTTAGTTAAGAAAAGTGTAAGCAAAGTGGCTTACAACAGAATGTAAGAGACATTCATTCAGTGAGATTAGACAATGGTTTAAAGGGACCCTCTAGGCACCATAACAATTTAATCAGTTATGGTGCTAAGAGGCTCCTGGCGCCGACTTACCATTAGGAATTAGACTGTTAATGAATAACTTAACCCGTAAGTGTTGCATCCAGCCCTCTTAGATCTGCCTCTCTACTTCCGCTTTTGTCAAGGCTTGAATCCGGAAGCTGTAAAAGGGTCCGCTACTGATTGACTTAAAGCATCAGCTGACCCAATCAGTAGGTCCCCATTAACAAAACTGCTTGAGAAAAATATGCACTTCTCAAATTTCTCAAGCCATTTTTTAAATGGGGTGCAAATGATTTATTTAGTGTCACCTAACACAGCCAATCCTCTGTTCCACTGTCCTAAGCTTCTTGTTTCAAGGCTCTATTAAAAGTGAAAGGAGAGTGGCAGAGCTAACCGGCATTAAATCCAATACTTTGGGGTTAAGCCAGGGCTCAACAAATCCCAGGCACCATGGCGACTAGAAATTTTGTCATGGTTCCTGAGATTTTTTTTCCTGACAGCCCTTTAGCAAAGGCAGTTGCCCACACAGGGTTGCATGGTAGCCGACTGCCAGCCTGGGGTTGCGTGGGAAGCGGTGAGCGAGGGAGCAGTAATCTTCCTGCAGTTCTACTATGCTCACTCACTGTTTAGTAATGCCCAGAGCCAGAATATGTTGTCACTACAGAGTGCACACCGGCGAACAGAACTGCAGGAAGATGATCGGACAAGTCCCACTGGACCTTAGGAAAAGATCAACACAGCTCTAGCAAAGGTAGGGAGGGTGGGTGGACATAAATGAAAAGAAAATGTGTGTGTGTGTGTGTGTGTGTGTGTATTTGTCCTCTGTGTATGTCTGCCTGTCTCTCTCTCTCTCTGTGTCTGTCTGTCAGTGAGTGTGTCTGTTTAGGTTTTACGTTACAACACTAAGTGCAATAGAGACACAGCACCCAGACCACTTCAGCTCACTGAAGTGGTCTGGGTGCCTACAGCTTCCCTTTAATGTGTTGAAGGAGACCAGTGCTTGTAAATATATGACATGTTTATTGTAGAGTTACAAACCAGTTTCCATAGCTTATATTGGAGATATGTGCTGATGCAGATAAGTATTGAAACCAGTCTTGGTCTTTGAGCCTTTCAGTAGATAGCTTCCTGATACCGTGGGAATTGGGGAGCTATTTACTAAGCATCTGCAAGATGCAGAGTCGGCAAAATTAGGATTGGCATTTCATTCATTCAATGAAATTCCGATCCGAATAGAAAGTACAGAATTGCATCCTAACATGAACGAAAAAAACTGTTCTCATTCTGTTGGGGCGAAATTCTATGTCTATGTGACAGGACGTTCGGGAATACTGAGAGGAAGCATCGCGAGATCACTGAGGAAAGGGTGAATATTGTGGGAAAATTTCTCTGACCCGCAGGAAGTAGGTCAGAACTGGTCAGGCGTAGGAAAAATACATAATAGAAAGTAGTCCCTACTTTGTCTTATGTTTTAAAGAAAACTAAATCAGATAGGAAGAAACGTTTAACAGATCCTGAGAGAGGGAGAGAAGCGGAAGCGATTGGGAAAAGGTAAGTTCGGCATGACCGTGCCGCTTTAATTTGCTTAAATGGGCATTTGTTTTGTGTGTATTTTTATTTGGTTTTTTTAATTCCACCTTATGCTAGAGATTGCACACTTTCATTCTGGTAATATGTAATAAAAGTGAGGTCAAATATTTTATCAAGGTTATTAGAGGTGTGGCAAGATGTTTTATGGGATGGTAAAAGTAGTTTATAATGGAAGTGTTGTATGTTGGGTGATCAAAATTTTCTTGTTTTATTGCACTTTCCAAATGTAGGATTGCGGAAAATGAAACTGCAATTGTCTGCCCAGTGATTGATACCATTGATTGGAACACGTTTGAGTTTTATATGCAGACAGGAGAGCCAATGATTGGAGGATTTGACTGGCGTCTGACCTTCCAGTGGCATGCAGTCCCCGAGCAGGAGCGCCAAAGACGGAAATCCAGGATAGACCCAATCAGGTAATGCTCTTTACTATCAGTTTGGCCAATCTTCAGCAAAGACATAGTCCAAGAATTTGACAGCTGGGACAAGACCAACTTTTGATTATTTTAATTTTATTTTTAATAAAATAAAAAAATATTTTTTAATAAATATGTAAGTTTGCTAATGTTTCTACTAGAATAATATACAGGTGAAATTACAAGATTCTAAATTTGAAAAGTGTTCTGTATCATGGCAGGTACACTTGAAGAGAAACAGAAACTTTGTAGTGGATTTTGTCCAAAATTTGGATAATCTAGTTTGTGCAGTATAAGTCATATATTTTTCATCTACATATATAAGATGTAGGCATCTGCTTTAAATTAAAGAAATTATGTTTTTGCATATAATTTGAGGTTTCGGGGGGATAGCATCATCTTTTTTTAGTAAGGCAGTACGTTACTTATACAGCTAAATAAATACGTGATTCAGACTTTGCTTAGTTGGCTCTGCAACTTTGATTAATAAGATTTTTAGTCTAGACAAACTCTAATACTGACAGAAATACCGGAACAAACGCCTTCACGTCACGCTCTTGCTGGGATCATGTACCCACCCTGGGCGTCCCCTTTCATTGCTAAAGCTCTTAAGATATTTAATGTGATTGAAATGTTTATCTGTTTCAGTGCTTTTCTTCTGACTCAAAAGCATTAGGTAAATCTTGAAAAAGAAAAGTATCAATCATCTGATTTGCAAAACTAGATATAATATATTTACTGAAATATTAATGATTTCAAAATCACAAAATATCAAGCAGCCCTCAACAACAGCCCAGGCAATTGAAACTAGACTTGTCCATTAGTGCCACGTTTGTGCCGTTTAAATCTAATTTCTGTCTCTTTTCTTTGTTTTCAAGTTATTAAATTAACTATTTTATTATGGTACAAAAGCACAAGGACATAAAAAACAAGCTGGTTAATTAAATCTGCGCATGTGTCATTCAAGTATCCATTCTTTCAAATCTCTCACAATCACAAATATACACACAAACAATCAGACCTATACACACACACACACACACACACAATAACAGATGCACACAGACACACATACAATCACATGCATGCACAATCACAGACCTATACACACAGTCACAAACCTAAACACACATCACAAATATGCACACACACACACACATACAATCACAGACCTATACACACAATCACAGACCCACACACATGCTTGCAATCACACACAGGAACATACACACACACAATACAGATACAATCACACACATACATTCACACACACAATCACACTCACCTACACGCACACAATCACAGACCTATACACATAGTCATATATATAATCACAGACCCACACACATCACAGGTGCACACAGACATACACACACAATCACAGACCCACACACAATCATAGATACAAACAATCACAGACCAATAAACACATAATCACAGATGTGTACACACACAGATACACAAACACAATTACACACACATGCAATCACAGAACGATCCATACACACAGTCACCGACACACACACCTTTATACACAATCACATACATACAAACATGTAATCACAGATATACACACACAATCACACACCCACATACATTATCACATACATTATCACATACATACATTATCACTGACTTGCACACACACAATCACAGAGATACACACTGACCCTCCACACACACACATTTACTGACAAAACATACACACACATTTTGTACTAAAGAGGTCAACCCAGCCTGGCATTTCAATTGACTCTCTTTCATTTTCCTTTTCAGGTTTCAAATGATAAAAAACTGATTTATATTCAAATGAAAGTGCTTCTTTAAAAGCTTACTTTACCTCCCTCTAAGGATTACTAAATGTGTAGCACTTTGTCAGGGTTGGGGCAATTATTTAGTTATTTATTTATAAAATATTTTACCAAGAAGGATGCAGTGAGATTTCTCTCATTTTCAAGTCATTTCCTGTGCCCACAAACATTACATTGTTATGATTGGGTACAATATAATATTATTACATTAAATTAAATATTAAGGCTTATTGTATTTGTTTTGGTGAGTATAATCATCCCTTTCAGGCTTTTTGCAGTAATCACTGTCTTTTCAGACAGTGCAGTGTTTACATTTTAACCTAGGGATACCTCCACTTGCCACTCCTCATATGGCTACTAGACGTGCTTCCTAGGGCAGTGCTGCATTGTGTGCAACACTGACATTTAGTGTTTACACTCTATGCATGGAGATACTGAACTTACTGCATTGATTCGGTGTGTCTCTATGAGGAGATGCTGATTGGCCAGGGATATGTTTGGCTTGTGCTGGCTCTGCCCCGATCTGCCTCCTTGACAAGCTAAGCCAATCCAAGCATTGTGATTGGCTCAGAACACTACTTTTGATGATGTCAGCAAAGCAGGCAGATAAGGGGCAGAGCCAGCAGCAGCAGACTGGAGTAAAGGTACAATTTTGCTATATTTAGGGGCAGCTAGATAGTGTTTTTAACACTATAGAGTCAGGAATACATGTTTGTTTTTCTGACCTTATAGTGTTCCTTTAAAAATAAAAAATAATATTAAAATACACATACAGTCATGGGGAAAAGAAAACACACCCTCTTTGATTTCTATGGGTTTACATATCCAGACATAACAATCATCTGTAACTTAGCAGGTGTTAAAATTGGGCAAATACGACCTCAGAAGGAAAATGAGGATCGAGCTACTTTCGTTTTGGTACATTAAGTAAACTGCTGGTACTAGATCGGAGGTTACGAGGTGGGAACAGCTAGGGCGAGAATTCTACTTTGGTTGGGAAATGCTCTTAAACACAAGGATGGAAAGTTGAAAGGTGTCTGTATCCCAGCACTAGCCAGTTTAGCTTTTTTAACATTAAAAGGACACTATAGTCACCAGAACAACTACAGCTTATGTAATTTGTTCTGATGTGTAGAATCATTACCTTCAGGCTTCTTGCTGTAAACACTGTCTTTTCAGAAAAAATGCAGTGTTTACATTACAGCCTAGTGAAAACTTCACTGGCCACTCATCAGATGGCTGTTAGAGATCCTTCCTGGGTCATGGCTGCCTAAAATGCATCCAAACATTCAGTGTCTCCTCCCTCTGCATGCAGACACTGAACTTTCCTCATAGAGATTCATTGACTCAATTCATCTCTGTGAGGAGATGCTGATTGGCCAGGGCTGTGTTTGAATCATGCTGTCACGATTTGTGGAACCCAACACGCTGGCACACACACACACACACAGAAAAGGTGCCGTACCGGACCTTAGAGTGGCCGGGCTAAGCACGCTAAGATTAGTCAGGAGACAAGCCAGGTAAAGGGAGCCAGAAAACAGGAGAACGAGAAACAAGCCGAGGTCAAAGGAGTGGAGAAGACAGAATAATCGGAATAACGAGCCAAGTAATCGGTAACCAGAGAGCAAGACGAGAACAGTACGCTACAGGGATCACAAGACCACAACAGGGCACTGAGGGACAGGAAAGGTAAGTATAAATACCCTTGGTTTAATTCTGATTGGATAACTTCCAATCAGAATTAACAATCACACGTGGGGGATATCTATACCCCCCACTGTGATTGTGGTACTGTTTCTTTAACGCCGGGTCACTCACGTGACCCCGGCGTTTACATAATTAATTGACCTCCCAGCGTGCAGCGTTATACATGCTGCCGCTGGGGGGCGTGGAGGACGCGGGCGGCGAGCGGCAGAGAGGAGACGCCGCTCGCCGAGAGGTAAGCAGAGGGGAGACCGCGGGCGGCAATGGAGTGAGGGTGAGTGCTGCAAGTGGCGTGCAGCCTCCCCTCCTAGCCGCCCGCGGATCCCCGACACATGCTGGCTCTGCCCCGATCTGCTTTTGTCAGTCTCAGCCAATCCTATGGGGAAGCACTGTGATTGGATCAGGCTACCACTTCTGATGATGTCAGCAGACTGTTTTTTTTTTTTTTTTTTTAGGCAAACAATGCAAAGTTACAGCTTCTGACTTGAATAGCACTAGCACTAAACTAGCCAGTTTAGCTTTTTTAACATTAAGAAAAAGAAAATCTGATATATATACAATCACATGCATGCACAATCACAGACCTATACACATATTATCTTAATAATCAAAGCACCACAAATCTTCATTTTTACAGCACAAAAAAGCACAAATGTAGCACCAACAAAAAACAATGGATTTGTGCTGATTGGGGGTAGGCAGCTTCACACAGCCTGATTTGGAACATATTTTGGTAGCCTTTTAAATCTACTCTCTTGAAGTCTAAATCCACTCATTTTGTTAGACTTTTCTGTTACTATTTCTGATGGTTCAACTCCAGGGTGTTTTATTTAAAGCAATTCTCTTGTGTATCACTGCTTTTTATAGAGGCAGACAGAGGAAGTGTATCTGTGTGTGCGAATGTAACTGTAGGAGAGATTTCATATTAGCTGCTGAAACAAAATGTTATTTTAGCAAGTCTGATCTCATCTCATGTCAGTTTCTGCTGAGCAATACAATGCAATATGTTCATTTCAAGGGACACTATCAGGGTTAATTGCTAAAGTAAGCATCCAAATTGAATTTCAAATTCAAGGCTAGAGTAACCAAACTGAAAGCATAGCTGACCTAAAGATTTTCCAGTTTAACTATTTTAATTTAAAATGTACATTAAATTCTCACTTTAGTGAATAGCTCTGTGTTATCTAGACATGAACCTTTTTTTAACATTACATGAAAAATGCATTAAAAATACTTCCAAATTGAGGAGCAACAATGGCGTCCCTGCACAGAGGATGCTCCGATTTCTCGGATGGGACATCCAACGAGGGGAAAGGGAGCTTTATGCCAGCCAGTGTGCCGCCACCGCTAGAGAGGCCACGGCAGCCTGCACCAACCCCCACACCGGTGACCATGGAGGCCATCGTAAGACCTTATGGGGCCACCCACCATGGGAAAATCTCAGCAGAGGTGGCCTCGATCAGAGAGGACCTGAGAGGCTGGGAACCGCCGAAAGCACCTCCAGAGACTACACACGCCAAATTGCGGAACTGCAAGCAGCGGTCCACGACCTGAAACAACAGGCGATACTTCATGATCAGCAACTGGCTGCACAAGAAGACAAGCGGCGCCAAAACAACTTGAAACTACGAGGGGTTGCAGACTCTATACCAGAGGCCAGGCACCCACACTACACCAGGCGACTGTTAACCGCGCTACTAACCCCAAAGGCGGCAAAAATTATCATGCTGGATGGGATCTTCCGCATACCGCGGCCAGCTACTGCACGACCTGCGGCTACAGGGGATGTAATCCTCCACTTTCAAAATGCAAGGTACAAAAGGGCAGTGATTGACGCCATTAAGGGCCAACCAACATATACCTTTGAGGAAATGACCCTATCGTTTTACGCGGACCTATCAAGTGGGACACTGACCTGGAGACAGTCCTTCGGGCCGTTCACCTCCCTCCTACGACAACACTGAATCCGGTACCGCTGGGGATCAGGCCGAGCGCTACGCATAGAGGGCGCAAGCGGCCCATTGCTCATATGGAATCTACAAGAGGCCACAGGGGACTTCGAAAAGCTAAACCTCCCACTGATGACTCTGGACTCCCCTGACGATATCGAAGGGACCCGCACGCTGCCTTGGGAAGAATGCGGCCAGCGCACTGGAATTTATACCAAGGCAACGACCCGTAACACCTTATGCAGCCACGACCTAACTCTGGACTAAGAGCTTAAGGACACTCACCGGGATGCACTCCCCTTCTCTGCCGAGCAACCATATGGCAGGCGGCTCTAAGGCCGTGCACCCTCGCACCTGCTGGGAGTGAACAAGACTACTTGATTGCATTATTTGTTTTATTGACTGTTTGTTTGTTTTACTG